TTAAACCTGACTATTTTTCGTTCTGTGGGGACGTAACATTTCAGCATCACTAGATAGAAATCGTAAGCACATTTACAAGTTCTATAAACAACTGACTAATGATTTTAAAATCACATCGGTCATTATCTCAAATCAAAACAAATTAAATAATTTTATTACATAATATAAGTACTCGTACATAAAGATCACACATTACTTACATAGGTTGTAAGGCGTCACTAACCGTGTGGTATGTTGTCATTAAAAATAATTCAAAGACGACCAGTCCTAGACTAAAATCAAAATAAAACAGACTCTAATAAAAAAAAATCATCAAAATTCTAATTCAAAATTTAGATAAAATCAAAATTTAATCAAAATCAAAATCTGATCAAGATCATAATTTAATCAAAGTCAAAATGTAATTAAAATCAAAATTTAAAATTTAATCAAAATTTAATTAAAATTTAATCTGAACCAAAATTGAATTAAAATCAAATCAAAATTAAAAATAGAAAGGAATCAGAAAGTTTAATACTTGCACCCAAACTTTAGATAGGTACTGCTCATAAAAACCTATCAGTTTTTTTGAGAGCGACAACTGATAAAAATGTAATTGAATCAAGAAATTGTTGAACTACACCATACTATTTTGGCATTGAATTACTTTAACAAAGCTAGAGACGCCTAGACTTAATAAATTGGGAGCGATTGACGAATTTGTGAACCACGCCCAGTCACCACCACGTTCAAAACCCGAATGTGCAATGACTCTAACACTGAGTCCCAAAATCTCTACGTTCCAGGGCTCTGTACCTGAAGTTTTTGTAAAGCTATTAATCCATCAATACTGCACTTGAACGGGTCCACAACTACGTCAGGCAACATGGAGATTTATGTCACCTTCGTTCCCAGGCGCGCACTTAACTCTGGCATAAGAGCTTTGGCGCTGCTTAAAATTCCATAGCAATAAACTAGCTAACACATTGAAAGTGTTGTGAGAACTATAACATTAAGTTATTTAATTTATTGCGCCCCGCGCGCCGACATATACAAAATACCCATAATGTATAAAACTACAGGAACAAACGGATACAAAGTTTGAAGAATCAAGTGAAAGAGATCGTTGATACAAGCATTCGTTGCAACACGATTGACCACTCCAAGCTATTTGTAGGTAAACTTCTACGAATCCGACTTATTCTTATCGCTTTAAACCCGTAGGACTCCGGGGCTTTCCTGTACTTATCAGTTAACACCATGCAGTTTTATCACAATATGGTTTAATTTATAGTGACAGATATGATTTGCAAGTATTACGCCTACCTGACTTATGTTGACCAAGGACTCCTCGATGAAGATCATTGTAAAGGCGTACGCAAATGTGTACAAACTGGCGACTAGAAGAAGCAGGTATAAGTTACCTATTCCCTTTACTGTGTAGGGACTTAGCATTGCGCCCGCTGTATGACCCAATGCGAAAGTCAACTGGATTATCATTAACCTGAAAAACACACATTTAGCTACTATGTTACTTATGCATAGCTAGGATTATAAGTTGCTGAAAATCATCGCCTGTGTTTTTGTGCTGTGGTCCGCATTTGAACCTGGAACCACAGCTCAAAATATGTTTATTCCGTTTTTATCCAATCGCTATGGTATGTAACTCCAAAAGTCCAAACCATAACAGTAGAAATCACGAATAGAACGTATAATGCACAAAATTTCCATAGTGTGGAGTATAGGATTTTATAAAACTATTGGGTATTTTTTCCATTTGAGAATTACGAATTACTTATTGAACTTTCAATTGACGGCCTTGTAATGCCCGCCAGCCAGAGCGCGAATTGAGTCAGGCATCCGTACAATGTTACATATAGCTGAGCTAGACTGTACATAATATACTTTAGCAGAACCTAAAAGATCTGTTCTCGTTGCTGGTGACGTCACTGATGAAGCAAATGGCCCCGATCATCAGCACTTTGTATCCCCCCGTCAGAGAGAAAGGCAGGCAACTGATGATGTACCACCAGGGCCCGAGCTCCTCCATTAAGCCGTATACCACGGTCAGGATTGCGCTGAAAGTCAGACCTGAAATTTTAAAAAATGTTTAGAATTCTTGGAGTTTTCGGATTGTTGTTTACCTAACTGCTTAAAAATGGGTTAGGTATAGTCAACGGCTACTATGATATCAGATTAAACATTTTCGATGCAAAATAGTCTTTATTAAAATGAGATAAGACGCCATAATGTTTAAACTTTATGTGCTGTCGTCAGTACGTTAAACTTAAATTCAAGTAGGACTTTCCTACTATCAAGCTTAATTGTCTTTATTATGAACTAGCTGTGCCCGCGACTTCGTCCGCGTGGACTAATGACTTTGGGTAGGCACTTTTAATAATTTAGTCTAATTATTTTACAAAGGCCTATGTTCAGCAGTGGACGTCCTATGGCTGAAAATTAAATGATGATGATGATGATTTTACAAATAGCTTTTGCCCGCGACTTCGTCCGTGTAGAAGTCGAAAAAGTTCTCATAGGATTTTTAAATGGTTTTTAACGTTATTATCTAAATGTTTGAATACTATTTGATCGTTTAAACACAGTGAATGATTCAATTACATAAAATTTTAATGATACTTTTCACGGCTTCGCTCTCATGAATGTTAACGACCGTCAAAAGCACGTCGATAGATGGCGGTCACTAATTTAGACTTTGATTTGCTCGTTTAAACACAGTGAATTATTCAATTACATAAAATATCTATATAAACTTAAGATTAGCCGGCTAAACTTAAGTTTAGCTTCGAGAAGCAGCTAAAGTTCGATAACATGTTAGTTTGCGTCATGATATTCCATCTTTAGCCGGCTAATGTGCACATTAGCCAAAACGATACGGCTAAAAATGTATTCGATGGGCGCGCCAGGCCGGCGGAGGGCTTGAGGGGGCGGTGGGGAGACAACGAATAGCTCCATATTATTTAACAATTGTGACTAGATATTGTTTTAAGTAATTAACACTGAAGAAGTTTTATTTTGTAATTTTAAATACCTACCTACAGAAGATTCTGTAATGACCAAATGGTTCCTTATTATTTTATTTTAATGATTAGGTTAGATATTGTTTTAAGTAATTAATATTTTGTTATTGTAATAATTGTAATTTTGAATACCTACATAGGTACATAAAAGTATGTGTAATGAAAGTGATTATTTTTTAATAAAGTTTTCGTGTCAAAATAGTAAACATTATTACACTGTTTCCTTTTCCATTTCCTTCTACATTTTTAGCCAAAGGCCTGCGGTTACACTTAAGTTTAGCCGGCTAAAGATAGAAGAAACTAACATTAACACCTCGTCGAAGATAAACTTAAGTTTAGCCGGCTAATCTTAAGTTTATGTTCACATCTATCTTTAGCCGTAACATTGACAACAAAAGCTACTATCTAATCTATCACTGCAGTTTGTTTTCGCAATTTTCTTCGAACTATACAGGGTGGAAACGATAAGTGATCTCATTCGGTTATTTCTAAACTATACAAGATATCGACAAACTGGTTACTGATCCTGAAAGTGCTTCACGAGCTCTATCTAACGGTACCAATAATAGGTCACAGAATTAACGGGATCTATCCGAAAATTAAATGTTTTCAGCCTCCATACTAAATGTATGCCAGCCAAACAATATTAGAAGTATTAAGTTTTTTATTATTCGTAAATAGATACTCGGTACAGCTATCAACTATTGTATAATCCCAAGTTGGTCCCATTTAAATTTTATCAAAATTGGTTCAATAAGTAGTTACCTAAGTTACTTTTAAAATAATTTTGATTTTGCCATCCATGTAAATGAAATTGATATCACTATTTTTGCTTTTTGTATGGAGTTTGAAAGATTTTTGACGTTTGTTAATGTTAAAATAACATGGTTCGACCTCGCCTAAATATCTAAAAAAAAGTTCTCATAATTATTATTGAATGAGTAAGACGGCGGGGTCCGTCTAGGCACGCCAAGGTTACCCGCGTTGGAGGGAATTCCCTGTGGTCACCACGGAGTTCAATTGTATTATTTTTAAGTAACATTTTGTAAAACCACAGACAAATAAAATAGGAATGGTAGATTACGCGTTATGGTAATAATAACTTAATTAATGTGGTAAAGTTGTTTATTATGTCAACTTGCGGCAGAAAGTAGTGGGGTACATAATAGTTTAGTCTTTTTGCGAAACTATCCATGTTATGGCGCGAGATAGAAAGTCCCTATAAATTCTTGATTTTGCAGTCGTCAGCACATTTTACCAAAACTACCACAGTTAACTAATCAGTATGGGCATGTCTGTAAAATGCGCACATTAACTACACTGATTTGATATCAGCCGATTCTTCATACAAATTAGAATCGGGTCCAACTATAGGCCAACTAAAAATGGTCTGCGCCTAGGCTAAGACTTACCAAAGAGTGTCCAGGCGATAAGCGGCTTCCGTCCATGCTTATCAGACCACACGCCCAGGAATAATGACAGAACTGCTGGAACTATTGCTTCCAGCACAGAATTAACCGTATTCACGAGAGTGACATATTCTTGGACCTCTTTCTCCAGCTCCTGTGTGTGGTTTATCTTCTCTGGGTCTAAGAACGACTTGCAATCTGCGACCGTGTAGTTTAATGAGTGAACGCATGTACGATACATGTTTAGATTGCTTATAGGTGCACCTGGTTAGGAATAAAAAAGTAAATTGTTAAAAATGTCGGGCTGGAAGACGTAGCGTGGGCAGGCCTCCTACTAGGTGGACCGACGATCTCGTAAAGGTCGCGGGAAGAGCCTGGATGCGGGCAGCGCAGGACCGTGCATTGTGGAAAGCCTTGGAGGAGGCCTTTGTCCAGCAGTGGACGTCATTTGGCTGAAACGAACGAACGAACGAAAAATGTTACAATGTTAGGTACAGTTTATGTCAATGTTATCTTTTAAAACTACAAGTCTTATTTGTTTACTTTGTTTCCAATAAACGTTTCTATCTTTCTATGTATAAAAAACTAAGTAATGTGTAACTGAATCGGCCCCTTGTTTACGAATGTTTCATTACTTACAACTTTACCATAATATTGCAAGTCTTTTATGTCTATATTTTATGTAGGTTCACATTCAAAATATTCAAGGGGATATACTTTGTTTATATTTGAAATGACCCTTAAAATAAAAACCTTTTTGAATATAAAATAACCGCAAACGGCAATTTATGAACTTACCTGACAAATAGAGTCCAAATAATATCATAAACAGAGGAATTTCAATCGTGTTTTTTAATTTAAACCCTTTTAAATGCGCAAGAGCATCTTCAGGTCCTGCTGGGGTATCACCAGCTCCTAATAGCTGATCAGTTTCTTGAGGTTCCATATTATTTTTTTGTTATTCAGCAAACATTTTCGAAAAACACGTCCACTCTGAAAATAATACGAAAACAATTTGCGACACGACGCGAGCTTGCCTTTCAGCGGGCTAATGTTATACTAACTTTTATCTGTAATTGTGAGTAATGTTGCTGACTTTTAGAAGGACTAACGTTTAATCTACACACTGCGGTCACTGTATGACAAGAATGCCCGTAGCTTTGAAGTTAAATACCTAAAATTTAGTTAATTCCTATAGACTACCGAATGTATTAGTCTGAAAAGGAACTGCAAAGCCTAAAACAACAAAAAGTACAGTAAATATGGTTAATTACAGTAATGATCGACCGCTCGTGAATGCAAATGTAAGAAAAATATAACAGACATGTGGTCGCCACCCGGTAGTCACCTTGTGCGTTGCGATTAATTTACTAAAGCTCATCGTGCGTGTTATCACTACCAACTTACCGAAAAGTTTGTTAATGATTAACGCAGTGTGTAGTAATCTTATTTCACAATTTGCACATTTACAGGATAATTCATTGACGAAATTCGAATGCACGTCAACGGAAAGATTGTGGTATCTCAATGTAGGTATAGTGTGAGATAATGTCAGTAGGTGATTACTAAGGCGATTGCAAAATGCACTGCCCCCATGCGCCTGTCCTAGCCAAAGAAAAGACTACTATTGAATACTGGTCCAGGTCCTAGCCCTAATTTGATGTCTTTTACGGTCAGGTTTGGGCCCAAAACTTTTATCTTGGAGGATCCAGATTCCAGAAGCAGCGTTTGTTTTTAGATAACTCTTCTCTTGGCATCTGGGACTCCTGCATAGAATAGATAGGCTCCTTTCGCTAGAGCCTAGAATAAAATTAAAAAATTGTTTACTGACAACAGACAAATCTACCTAGATTTGTACTTACCTAAGTAGCTTAAAAAATACTTGATTAAAAAAATGTTTTGAGGTCATGTTGTCGGCGGCCAATATACTCTGAAAGTAATTAACTCTTGCCAGGAAACGTATCTTTTGTGCGATTTTTTTTACAGAAGGAAAAATTGTGTTTAAACTATAGCCGCCTTAATAGTTGCTAAGAAATAAAGATAAGCCACTTACCTCCACTTATCGGCGCATCCGTTGCTAAACTTCAAAACATGCGCGTGAGTCTGCGACAGAGAACCGACAGACAGCCCGGTGTGAAGCGACTGACACTTGGTTAAAAAGACTGACAACGATAGGGACTTTCTTGGAGATTTTGAGCAGTGATTCATAGTGTCTATTGCAGTATAGTAATATAGGTACAGACAGATAAAAGATATTAATACACTGATTAGGATCCGAGAGTGTATATCCTTTATTCTTATAAGATTTCTCAGTAACACTCAATGTTATTCAAAGATAACAAATGAAAATGACGTATTTTTCAGGCAATGGAATTTTAATCCGTATACGAATCGCACACTGCTAACTTTAAACGATGTTATTGTCTTATTCAGTTGTAATAGCTCAGATGCTACTTTGCAGCATAAATGTTTAGACTGAGACCTGTGCCGCCGCGCTAGCAATTATCAGCAGTAACTCCAATATTTTGCTGTTAAAAAATCTCCTGTCAGCTCATCTGAATAGAGCTCATTATAGTTTAGCCAAAAACTGGAGTTACTGCTGATATCGCCAGCACGGCAGTGTGCTGAGACGTACAAATCTTACAAGTACAGAGCTTTCTGTCATCTCAAAAAAGGGGGTTAATTAACGGCATATGAATGACAAAAACGAATAATATTAATTATTTATTTACACAGTACATAACACTACAGGAGAACATATTAACATAAATATTGCTAAAAATACTTGAAAATTTTACACAAAAAATATATAAACATTTCACTCAAAAAATAACCTAGCTGTCAATCTCACTGGTAATAACGATTGGCGCCACTTGATTCACATACAAAATTAAATACTTAACATACGAGTAAATAAAACACATTTCACATTTTTCTTATCTTTCTAATCTACATAAAATAACAGTTTCGAGCCTTTTATTTACAATGATTGCAATCGGAAGCGGGTTTTAGTTAATTAATAATACTATATCACATCATCGGAATTTATGCTAATTTTGACCATGAAAAGACAAGACAGTAGAATAGGCACTAAAGACGAAAATTTATTTACTGACTATTCCGTTTTACTGTGGCGCGAATCTGTGTCAGAGTGTGATTCGATGTGTTGATCTGTTTCTGCAATATTAAAAAAAACCGGATAAGAATGGTCAAAATCTCTATTGTACATAATACAATAATTAATAGGTGTGATATTTTCTAATAATCTTCTAAAAATTAAGTAACACAACAATTTCTGGGACCTTTGCTTTTCATGCACACGGCCACACTGATTTCCGTTTTTGTTTTCGCTCTCATCAAACGGTGATTCTTTAACACTGTTGCCGATGGTACAATGATGACGAAGATTCTAAAATGACGCTGATAACACTTCAAGTATTCAACTCTGTGGTTAAATATTACCTAAAATTCAGACAGTCTGGCTTCATGTCTATTTTGTAGTCTAGCCTTAAAAATAAGTATTAACAATCCGATCGAGTTAACTGGCACCTGGCGGCCGTGACGTCACATCGAAGCTCTGTACCTCTAGTACGAAAAACTTTCGAGTTCGTTTCGTTGCGTATTCAAAGTGCGGGCCTAGGGCGGCTATAATATAGGGGGCGCTGTTTAATTTTTCATACAAAATTTTTCGATGACACTTTGAATACGCAACGAAACGAACTCGAAAGTTTTTCGTACTAGAGGTACTGGACGGGACGAACGCGGGCACGTGTGCGGGTAAGTGCGAGTGAGAGTGGCATTCCAGCGAGGTACGCAGTTACCTCGATCGGATTGTACCTACTTGAGCATCGTCTTAACGAACTCATTCTCGCAATTTTTTGACCGCAAGCTCGGCTTTTTTACAAAATGTACTAAAAGAACTTGAAGTGTTTGTCTAATTCCAGCAAAAGCCTAGCTTTTTCATACTACTTTACTATGAAACATACTTGCTTGGGTAGGTACTTTAATAAAATAAACTACGTTTTCCAACTTACCCTCAACTAACTGATATGGCACTGAAGGACTCTTTACTATGAGACATTTCACGATCCTGCAACAAATAAACATACTTCTGTAATGCCTGGTTAACCATTCTGAAATATATCCTTCATTTTTCTTTATTTCGAGACTCTATAATGGTCTTTACACGAGAGTCGCTCCTAGCGGTCACAATATAGCTTACGTTATTTCTTTATTTTGAATGCTTTCGTCAAACATTTATTACACCTTATGTCCGCACTGTGGGACGATTAAATTGATCAGTGGAACGGTATCTACTTTATTTACGTAAGTAGATATTAAAGATGAATAACTTTCATGCCTATCTAATCCTGATCAAGCAGGCAGGACATCAACCTTCACTGACATATAAGGCGACTTTTGAACGATGCCGTGTGACGTCGCACTATGGATCGAAAATGAGATTTTTGGACATAGCGATTTTTTTGATAATTTCTATTATTAAAAATTACCAATCGATAGGTTACGTCATTCTGGTGAATAAATGACAAAAGTTTTTCTCTAAAAGTGATAGTTTGGCTGGAAAAAAATATTTTCCATTTTCGTTGTATGGAATGATACATAAAGTGGTCGATTTTGAGAAAGATGACGTCTGATCTTAAGAAAAGTCAGTTGAACTTACTTTTTTTTTTCAATCTTTATATTTTATATAAATCTTTAAAAATATCCCAAAAAAGTCACTTTTACTTACTTTTATTTTTAATTTTCGAAACCTCATAACTTCTGAGCGGGCAAGTTTAGGCACGCGCTGATAGAGTAGGATTATAGTCAACAAGCCATAGAACAAGGCTCAAGTAGTTTTAAAGCAAGATCTGTCAAGACTTAGTCAAAATCGACCACATTATGTTTCATTCCATACAACGATAATGGAAAATATTTTTTCCAGCCAATATCACTTTTAGAGAAAAACTTTAGTAACATTTATTCATCAGAATGACGTAACCTATCGATTGGAAATTTTTAATAATAGAAATTATCAAAAAAATCGCTATGTCCATAAATCTTATTTTTCATCCATAGTGCGTCGTATCGTGCTTTGTGAAGAGCCCTAATGGCTGATTTACACATGATATGTAAGTATTATAACTAAATTTTTACTTGATTTTTCTATCAAGTTGGTGGGCGGGGCTTGTCACTTGACACGTTTTGACAAGCATAGTAAACAAGAGCGTGACGTTTGGAATTAAGAATTAATAAGTCGTCTATGAAACATTCCCACAGGTAATACAGTAACAAAGATTCATACTCACAGCAAGAACACTAGTGACACAGTAGAAATAGCAGCGGTGAGCACTAAAAATGCTCCAGGAAAACTTGCGAGCGTGTAAGCATACAACGCGTTGTACACCAGTGGCGCTAGCAGCGGGCTGAAAGACTCGGCCGAGCCCATCAGGCCGAAGACCTTTGCTATGTCTTGACTGGGTAACGTCTGGGACAAGTACGACCGGATTAACGGCCCGGAGACTGTCCCGAAGACAGCTGCGGCTGAACCTGAAATGGGACGACTGAGATTATTTACAGAACCAATCGTAACTAAAGCCTGGTCCGTGAGCACGTAGAATTTTGTCCAATGACCCCTAGCTACCCATCCTTATCGCTCGCGCGTAATTATGTTGCTGTCACGCTCGCACACTCACTGCGGGCGCGCGTCGCACAGTCGCGATAGCAATATAATTACGCGCGAGCGATAAGGATGGGTAGCTTGGGATCATTGGACAAAATTCTACGTGCTCACGAACCAGGCTTTACCAACCCTTTAACTGGACATGGGGTCTTCGGAAAATTTATTCGCATTCATATGTGATTAAAATGACTCAAAAGTACGCGTGGACCTCGTTTTACCCCCGTTAGATATCATGTTGATAGATGGCGCTTTTTAGACGTCTTATTTATGTATTGAAAATTTGTCACATATCGTCATAAATTATAGCCTATATGTTAATCTGGGTTATAAACAATAACACTGTAAAGTTTCAACAAAATACGTTCAGTAGTTTTTGCGTGAAAGAGTAACAAACATCCAGAAATCCAAACTTTCGCTTTTATAATATCCCTTCATTTGGCAGTGATGCTTTTAAGCAACAACCACTTTGAATATTTCTACAGCACCAAATAATAAGTTTTGTGCAAATAATTCGATTTTGTTACGAAGCTTAGTTCAGCAAAACACTAGTAAATAGGTCGTCGACTGAGTTTTGAGTGATTTCATATCCATATTTCTGTCAGACGCCAAGATGACGCGCAATGAGAATAACAAAGACGGAAGTTTTATGATTTTGTACTATTTTATTATCTCTAATTGTTTTTGTTTTGTCAAAATTTTATTAATTATAAATCAAACTAATCATATAAAGCAATATTTGGCGTAGAAACTGTGTTTTCTAATACATGACATGCTTCCGAACCTCGACGTTGCCTAGAAGCAACAGTGCCAAACATCTAACAAAATAGGTTTAGCTTTTTGTTAATACAAAAGAGTGTCAATACACAATGAATCAATCATGTATTACATGAATAATGTTATAGAGATGGTATAGTAATTACTTTTGATGCCATGTTTTGATGCAATTATGGACCCTGTCGGGCACAGCATTTAGGAGAGAGGAAGAATTTGCTGTCTGTCTCTGTGTTGTCTGTCTTCACACTTATACCGCTGAACTGATTTAAATGATAAACACATTTTTCTTGCGTTTAAGTCAACAACTATAGCAGATAACGGTAACATACCAGTTTCAGAAGCTAAAGAGAAAATAAAAAGCCAACATTGGCTCGGCATATTGATCGTGAAGTATGATGACATACGTCATCTATCAAATGTTGGAGAAAAAGGTCATTGTCGACTTTGCGAAAATGCCCAAAAAAAAGTTTAATGCATAAAATGTGAAATACGATTGATTTTTTTAAGATTTTCATATAAAAAAAAAATTCTATAATATATCTCAATGTTTTATTTAAGTACCCCTATTTGGCAATGTGGTAAATAAGCAACAATCGTTTTTCGCGAAAATACCAACCAAATATTTTTTTTTACTATTTTTCTTAACTTTATTTGATAGTAACAATTAGGTCTAAATAGATTTTATTGAAAAAATCAAACAATTTGTGTCTTGCCAAATGAAGGGATATTAGTAGGATTGCACTCCACACAAAACAAGAAAAAAATAAATACTCAAGATATTTAGTTTTACGTTATCAATATTTTTAAAATGAAAATTATTTAGAAGACGATACGTCTACGATCGTATCAATTTAAAAAGGAACTCACCAAGATACATCTCCCATGTATCAACTGCTCCAGCTTTTATAATGTTCTCTACGACACAAGAGAAGACAGCTATCGTAGCGAAACTCAGATCGCTTATATGGAACATTTTCTGTATCAATGCTACCCCAAAGAACCCTCCCAAACTCCAAACGGTGCTTAAAGCCGAAAAAGTCGTGAAATCTTTCATCGTCCATTGCAGTTTGTTCCTTGTGTACAAGTACATAAGACCCATTGTTCCCAACATAGCGAATGCGTTAAGGCTAGACGCGCCGACTGTAAGAAGCAGCTTCGCTCTGCCGTAGTTTGGTTTTTCCTTGAAACTTTCCGTTAGCATGTCCTTAACGTGCGAAAAATCTAGCACGGAAAATATACTGCCCTGAAAGAAACATAAGATGTACCTAGACGAAATAAAAAACAAACAAAAATATTGTCCCATTTATTATCCCAAAGCAGTGGTAGGCCGTTTGTAGAAATCCGTTTTTCCATCGGCGACGGACCGTCAATAAACGGATTATCCTTTGTTTGTTGTCAAAATGGATGTATACAAGCGGCCGTACGCTTAAATAATAATAATAATAAGCATTTATTTCTCTCTTTCACAATCCAATGTAATACACAAATTGCTATGCACTATTTGAACAAGGTAAGATTGTGAGAGAACTGCAGTCTGAACTAGGCGAGAAGCCTGTACAGCCTGTACTACAGAGCGCCAGTACTCTCCTCTCTCTATAATAGCTAAATGGTTAAAGTGATAGCGGGACGTGTAAAAACACTTTTTAAAAGACTTTTTTTTAGAAAACAACGATACGATAGATGTTATCAAGCACACTTCTCTTCTTACCTCTTCAATATTCGTCAAAGACTCTTGAATGGCGACAGCGGAGAATGCGTACGCGCACGCATAGAGAGCAGCCACTATGAGCAACGAGTAGACGCTGCCCACTGCTCTGAGCAGGAATGGGCTGACCATAGAACCTCCCGCTATGCCAATCACTAGGCTCATCTGGACCATTACTAATCTGGAAGCAAATAATATTCAACTTTGAGGCTTATTGTCGGCCGTTTGGTGTAGTGGTTCAGAACGGACTACTATGCCGAGAGGTCCCGGGTTCGATTCCCGGCCGGGCAGAAATTGAAATGATGAATTTTAATTTCTGTGACGGGTCTGGTTGTGACTATGTATAATATTTATGTATTTTAAAAAAAAAGTATATAAGTAGTATATCCGTTAAGCTAGCACCCATAACACAAGCATTAAGTTGCTTACTTTGGGGCTAGCTGGCGCTGTGTGAAATTGTCCAAAGATTTATTTATTTACTAGCTTTCCGCCCGCGGCTTCGCCCGCGTGGAATTTTGTCTGTCACAGAAAAACTTTATCGCGCGCGTCCCTGTTTCAAAAACCGGGATAAAAACTATCCTATGTTCTTTCCCGGGACTCAAACTATCTCTATGCCAAATTTCATCAAAATCGGTTGCGAGGTTTAAGCGGGAAAGCGTAACAGACAGACAGACAGACAGAGTTACTTTCGCATTTATAATATTAGTTGGGATTTATATTACTGCTCAAGATTCCAGGAAGCGTGTGAACAGGGATGCAGGCAGCGCATTGTGGATGTATTTGGGGGGGGCCTTTTTTCAGTAGAGACTTTCGATTGAAAAGGAGGATAGAATAGAATGTAATTTTAGTTTGTATTCCTTCTTAAACATAGCTACGAGCAGGTATACTTACCAGTACAACAACTATTTGCTACTATAAGGCGGTTATCACACTGCGCCGCGTTCCGCCGCGGTACGCGGGACGACAGATTTAATCATTGTATGCAAGTACCTCAGTTTTTATAGAAAACACGCGCGGCACTTCACACTGACAACGCGTCTGCGCGCGGGATTTTTTATATGAAATCACGCGCTCCGCGGCGGGTGCGTGGCGCAGTGTGATAACCGCCTAATGTCTTACTAATCTGACTCAAGATGTAAATTAACAACTTGGTGAATAACATTCTGAGATCAGACTTTTTTTTATTTATCTTCATCGTGAATCACCAAGAAAAAGTTTAACAAAATAATTTGTTTGGCAAGTTTGATAACAGGTTTAATCGGCAAAATTCACTGATTAAGATACATTCATCATAGGTAAGTACATATTTATAAGTGTAAATCGATCTGCCGCAAGCGTGATTTTATTATGCTGAACCGAATCAATTCTATTCTTGGAACCAGCAAGTGATCTTATGGAATATGCTGAAGTCTTCGCTTAAAAAGATTCGATTCGACCGACTCTCACCTAAAAGTCCTATTTCTATTGTCAGTGACGTCACTAACGAAGCACATAGCGCCAGTGATAACGACGCTCATCCCGCCAGTCAGCGAGAAGAACACGCTGCAAGCCACCAGCCACCACGGGCTGAGGGACACCATGCTGTATACTACTAGCGCCATGGAGCCCAACGTCATTGCTGGAATTAAAAAAAAAACATTTTTGAGCTATGAAAAAAAAAACATTTTTGAGCTATGATAAAAAAAATGGGCAAAGTAAATAAGGCTTGGGAAACATCATCGGACGGGTAGTTTAAATTTATTAACCGTTGTCTCTCATTCAACGTTTTTTACTCATTTGCTAAAATGCTTATTTCTGTCGCACGGGGCTCAAAATCAGCGAAATTCGTAGGTAAGTAGTTGATTCACACCTAATGTGCCAAATTGTCCAGAAATGACTAAGCCGTCAAGACTGGTTATTGGCGTACTTCTGCACTCTTCGATACCACTCCTGCCTATGACTCAGCTACCGGCAGTGGCAAACATTTTGCTATAGCCACAAGCAGAGAGATATCTAGAACCTATTTTAATTTTGAACTTACCCAGAAGCTTAATAAGACAATAAGAGGTTTCCTGCCGTGCTTGTCAGACCATGCTCCTACAAACAACGAGAGCACTGCTGGCCCCGCTGACTCTAACACCGATTTAGCCGTCATGACCTTATTCGCATACTCTTGCACCTCTCGCTCCAACTCCTGCCTTCGCTTACAGAAATGTTACATACTAATTTTGAACTTACCTAAAAGGTTCCAGACAATAAGAGGTTTCCTGCCGTGCTTGTCAGACCATGCTCCTACAAACAACGAGAGCACTGCTGGCCCCGCTGACTCTAACACCGCCTTGGCCGTCATAACCTTGTTGGCATATTCCTGCACTTCTCGTTCCAACTCCTGCCTTTGGCTTAGTTCTTCGGAGGTGGAGGTCATCTCAGGAGAGAGGAAATGTTGGCACTCGGAGGCGGTGCGGTTCAGTTCGTGAACGCAAGTCCGGTGCATGATGAGGTTGCTTATTTGGATTCCTGTTTGAAAGGAGATTTTGTTGAACATAAATTATATGGTTAACTTTCGTCGACATATTCGAAGTGACATAACTACCTCCATTGATTTCAAAGAACTAAACTCGAAATCAAATCAACAACATTAATTAATCTATGATAAATTTAAAATACCGACTAAGTGGCCCGTTTTCTACCAAGCTGAGAGGAGACGAGATTATTATGTTAAAAGCAACTGTTTGTTCAAGCCGAGAATCGAACCAGCGACCATGATCATTCAAGGCGATCACATACTACGTCATCGGACAGTTTAAAAAGTCTAGAATTAATTTAGAATTACTTATTATTTTTATTTTTTTTTTGTCTTCGGCACTTTTTCGATTTTGGTTTGCTTATTCTAAACATAAGACATACATAACTATTATCATAGATTTTTACTTACCAGACACAGCAAAACCGATCATCATAAGAAGAATCGGGACTTCAATAGCGTTCGATATCTTGTATCTTTTTGGACTCGCTTCCTCACTGATGATCTCATAGTCAATATCACCCATGGTTTATTTTTCAACCTTCAGACAACCCGTATTATTATTATTAACCCGCAAAATATCAACAAAATTCACAACACTCTTCAAAGCATTTATCCAACACTGTTTATAAACCGACAATCGCATGTTACTATCACAAAACTAGATACCTAGATAACGTGCGATAAGACAGACGGCCATACGTAAGCGGCTTAAGCAAATCAAAAACAAAATTAAGCATGACTAGCATGAATTAAAAAAGCTATTTTAGGATGACAAAGCACAATCAAAACATGCTAATAAAGAATTAAGAGTACCTATAACCACAGCTATAACTTAGTAACAAAGCTAACAAAGAAAAGGCAGACAAGTGTTATTATGACACATTAAATTAATAGTGATATCATTATTACATTAGTTCACATAATTAAGTTACTTTGTACAGTGGATCTGTGCACAAAACATTAGCACAATGGATTCAGTACGCATTTTATCTCAAGCGTCCTTGAAACAATAATATGATGGCCGCTCGCTAGACATGAATACGCACTAGCGCTGCCGACGGATTCTCTTTACGTATAAAATCAAAGGTCAAACGAATGAGTTCTGTGAGCAATACTTAAAATAGGTAGAAGGATATGCAAGGCGACCTTATTACACTGGGTTAATAACGTCTAATATTGTAATTGAATTGCACTTCAAACACAACTGAATGAATATCAGCGAACTCGGACTGATGTAAATATTTCACCCAAATGGGTTCAAAACATGTGACTCATCTATGACGCGTTGTTATGTTGTCATAGGTAACAGGTAGTAGGTGAATCATAATGTGCCCGAATAAAAGAAAAGATAAGTGTAAAAATCCTTTAATGATAAGTCTTAATACCTACACAGTTAATGTGAAGACTAGTGCAGGTACACTTAAGGCTAAAATTACCGTTTAGTCTAAACAGTCTAAACGGTTTAGACAACTTTAGCTAAGCAATGAACAGCAGTAGCACAGTATTACCGTGGCAGTAGATTGGCGGACTCGCCTTGAAGTGGCGTGCTCTATGAATTTATAATACAGGGTGTCTCAGAAAGACGACAAGCGGTAAAAGGAAATCAGTAAAAAATATTTATATGAAGTTAGAGCTGCTCTCTATTTTCCTAACGTAATTTCCACATATTTGAGTTGAGAGTTTGAGAGAGTGGAAGAAAGAGAAATCGCTATGCATTTCTTATCTATATCTTCGACTGAACGTTACGTTTAATGTCGCCAATTTTTGCGAAAAATAATGATTTTATTATAAGACTTACAAAATTTATTTTTATTACCATAAAGCAAGCAAGCAGAAATTGTAAAAACTATATCACAAAGGTCAACTTACTATCTAATTATAAAACTCACTGGTACTTATCTTTTCTTATCACAATAATATGATAGTAAAGTATTATCTAAATTTTATAATAACAACAATAATAATTTGTTTAAGTGTTAATGATTTGGTCTTTTTTTCACAATAAACTTTATCAGTAGCTAGTAAATTTCATCAAAAATTTAAATAAACTTTTTACAGTTAATTCATTTCCAATATTGCATTTTTTAGTATTTACAATTTAGTTATCACAGTCTAAAGCATTCAACATATTATATATAAAAAAATCAGCTAATTAAATTATTTTATTGTACTTATACAGGATGTACCAAAACAAAAGGCACTTCAATTGTAATCAATAGTTGCACGACAAAAGTATCCACTTTTTCGCGAAAAGAAAGAAGACGAAAATCTTAAAATCATCACTAAACGTATATGTAATGTGCTAATAAGAAAAAAAAGCAGTTATTACTTGAACCTACGTGATCAAATTTAAGGGAAATACGACGAAACCGTGATATAATTCAGATTCAAAAATGCAAATCTAAATATTCAAAGTCAAAACGTCATTACTTCACTGGGAATTAGGACGATTTCATAATGTTTTCATGCTCCTCTGTGCAGCTGTGTACTAATCATAACAGCATCTGACTACGTAGTTTCAAGTACTGCTCAATCTTGTACACCCTGTGTAATTTACTATGGATACTAATTAAATAAAATACCTCTACTATTCATGTAAGTACACTTAGTTGCTCATAATATAATATTTATGTTAGTTTGATCAAAATTAAACTTTAAAAACCTATTAAGATGAACCAACAAGACACACATTTATCATTATGTAAATTACAACACCTTTTTTCATTGAATTAACTGTGACATTTATTACAGTCTCGGCGAGTAAACTTGATAAAAAAGGCTTAATCAAAAATGTTACTAGTCCCACGATTCTATGTGATTTATCTCTATGTCTCTTGTAATTAATTAATCAAAATCTTTTTATTAACATTTTAAAACACCTTTTTATACAAAATTACTGTGACACTAGTTACGATGACTAAACTAGATAAAAAAGCATTAACTAAAATGTTACTAGTCTCACGAGTCTATGTGAGTCACCTTTATGTGTCTTTTGTAATTAATAAAATTCTTTTTATTAAATAATTACAACACCTTTTTTCATAAAATAACTGTGATACCAGTCTTGATGATTAAACTAGATAAAAAATGTTCAGCTAAAATGTTAGTAGTCTCACTAGTCTATGAGTATGGGAGTCACCTCTAGACTAGTCCTAGTAAAATAAAAATAAAAATTTACTCCTATTAATACATCATGCAAACGGTGCAAAAAACGTTAATAGAATTATTACTTATTAAATTATGTTTTCTGTTCAGAATAATATGTATGAGTAACTTGCTAAAATACCTATTATTAACATTGTTCTTGTAAAATATTGCTAAGCATGGCAGAACACATTTCAAATGATTGACCTTTTTTAAGCACCTATTATTGCGTATCTTGCAGTCTTATACTTACGTATTTTATCACAATATAACAGCTGTTTGATATTATTATTTATCTACGAGTTTATTTCCAATGGCTGGTAGTTTGGCACGCTGGCACGCCATCTGTAGTAAACAGCGGTACTGAAACAACAAAAAAAAAGTTAAAATGATCCATTCTATGAATTTTATTAATTTTATTTTTATTTTGTTTTATTCAGAAAACAAACAGTTTACAAATTACAAAAATAAATACATAAATTGCATAGATACAATGTAGTTGGTCAAAGCCTAAGGCACAAAAGTTGTGTTATGTATTTATTTTCTAACTACATAGGTAGTTTAAACTTTTTCTGGCTAGTAAATTCAAACTAATTAATTATTTAGTTTCATTGCTGGGAAATTTTTTTGTTTAATATAAGCATTTCGCACGAAAAACACATAAAAAAACGCAAAATCATAAAAAGGTTTGACCAGTATTACCAGTAACCATAAAACTGAAAGGCTTTTTATACCCAAGTACTTAATGGAAACAATAAAATCCTTCGAAGCTGATCTCGTAAATAAACATAATTTATTTTTATTTAAACAACACGGTGCGATAAAACCGCAATCTGCAAAACAAGATTAGCGCCAAATAGAGTATCATATCACCTCGCATATTAAGCTGGCGACTGACTATAGTATTAAATTGTAACGTAACATTCGCTACGAGTGTGGCGCTATATGTATGGTTATTTGCTGAGAAACCATGAACAGGGCAGAGCGGGTGCATTTCCGTAACAGGTTCAGCGGTAAAAAACGAATCGTCAATTTGTAGCATATTAAATTAAGTTTTTTAATGCTCTTATTGCAGCATATTAATTAGGTTCAAATATCACAAGTCAGTCGCCAGCTTTACTAAATGTCGAAGCGATCGGAGGTAAAAAACTGGTAGAATCTAAAAATAACAAGAAATGCCCTTTTAATCTCGTGCGCCCTTATTGAAAGACATAAAATGTCAGGGTTGTTCGACAACCACTGAATGGAATGAGGCCAATGATATTGTTTTTATATAATATCATTGAATGAGGCTATATTTAGAATTTAGATGTGCAAAAATGTAACATTATGGAGTAGGATAAAGTTCAATATTTACTTGTAAACTCAAATAAATCATGTTTAATTGCTTTGCTTAATAGTGCTACATATAAATATAATTTTACTAGTTAAAAAAAAGGCCGATATAAGACCGAAACTGTTAAAATCTCAATTTATTTCATCAAAATATAGAAGTAAATTCGTGAAAATTATTAAAAATCTCACCTCAGCATCGTAGCGCAGACCAAACAAAATCCGCTGGTCAACAACATAATAGCTCCAGGGAACGAACTGATCGTGAACTCGTATAAGGCGTTGTATAACACTGGAGAAATTATCGGGGCAACGTCTTCTATGGCGCCCATCAGAGCGAATACTTTGGCAATATCCTCCATCGGCATGACCTTGGATAGGTAGGATCTTATCAGCGGCGACGAGAGCCCACTGAATACGTTAACGACAGCAGCTGAAAAAATTTTATGATCAGAAACTGGTATTAAAGCCAGCAACCTGAATTTGGATGTCAGAATATGGTATGTAATTTGGCAGCAACCTGAATTTGGTGGTCAGAACCTAGTATGTAATTTGCCAGCAATCTGAATTTAGTGGTCAGAGTATGGTATGTAATTTGCCAGCAACCTGAATTTGGTGGTCAGAACGTGGTAGGTATGTTATTTGCCAGCAACCAGAATTTAGTAGTCAGAAACTGGTACGTAATTTGCCAGCTCAACCTGAATTTGGTTGTCAAAACCTGGTATGTAATTTGTCAGAATCCTGATTGTGGTGGTCAGAACCCGGTATGTAAGTTGCCAGCAACCTGGATTTGGCGGTCAGAACCTGATGGTATGTTATGTAAATTCTTGGTACTCAACTCTATTGTAAATAACAATGTAATTATATGTAGTTATGACCTGAATTCACAAACAGGTGGTTATTTATACGGTTTCTTTGTTCGAAAATAAAGGTATACCTTAGTGTTTAAAAGAAAATATTGTTTCACAAACTCACTATTATGCTGGTGAAATCATACTTGAACCGATTTCGAAAAACTGCAACTTATAACTGACAAAAAAAAAGTTCATAAAAAGTTGAGGAAGAGAAGTATATTTTATGTCCTTAAGTTCGCCTTTTGTACTCTGATATTGGCTCCGTGCACGATTACAGCGCCAACTAGCGTCCACAACTTTGAGGGCTCTGTCACATTGACATTTAGGTCGTATATTTGTGAAAAATATCGAAATGAAAAAATAACAAATATTTTCGACTAATAAATTGTTGTGAATACAACGATTTGGGTGGAAAAAAGGTTTTGAAATCATTTTGGTCATTCAAATCAAATGAGGTAAGTCCAAAAATTGTGTTGAATTTTGATTGTGTTAGGGTTTGTTTACTTCATTTATAGTTGTAGTTTTACAGTAAAACAAAAAGAAAAAGCTACTTTAACGGTTTAATTATATAACAGTAAATATAATTAAATGTTCCTGTATCGCTAGTAATAAATTAAATATCGTTTTCAGATCGAAATTAGTATTCTTTTGAAGACCGGGTTTGTGAGTGTTACAATATCAAAATCCAACCACAAACCGTATTTAAAGGAAAGTTGTTGGTATTGGCTGGACAAGTCCGAGATGTAGAAGAATTAAGAACAAAACAAGGGCAGAGTTCAATAATTCACGCTCTCATCATAAGGCAAACATCTGTGCACAACAACTACTGTGACTCATTTTTGTACAACCACGTTGTATAGTTTAGTTATTTCCAAATTGTAAACGGCTATTAAACCAGTCCTATTGAAATACAGTCCACTCTTTTATTTAAGTTCCCAGTAGGACCCTTTTCATGTGATTAATTAATGATATTAAAATGTAATAAGTAGAATCGCTTTGCCATTGACAGATACATCTGATGACAGAGCTTACATTATTTCTACTTTTGACCACCATGAGCGCTGCGATCGATTATGTTTCCCCCACCTAGTACTTCGCACCCAGCGAATACCTATCTAATTGTGTGTAATAAGGTTGAAATAGTTTTCTTACCCAAATAGAAATGCCATGTAGTCGTAGCAAATCCCCTGATCATATACGAGATTGCAGCCGTCACCAGCGCCACGATTGAAAGGGCCATGTCTCCAATAGGTAGGTATTTCTGGAGCACTCCTACTCCAAAAAATGACCCCGCGAAGGATATAGTAGTATCCACAGCTGAGAACTGCGTGTAGTCTTTCAGAGCCCAGTGGAGTTTCTCTCTGGTATACATGTAGCTCAGTCCGTAGAGGCCATAGAGCATGAATACTGACAAGCTGTTGGCAAATGTTAGCAGAAGCAGCTGAGCTCTTAAGTAGTTTGGACGCCGCTTGAAACAATCTCTGAACATTTCCTTCACGAGTAACCAGTCCAGAACTGACATAAGACCACCCTGAAAAGCAAGAATCAATTTATCAAAATAAATATAACTTTAATAAGGGTCACGTCATTTTCTATGCTTTTTAAAGAAAGGTTGAGGTTTTTAAGCACTATGACGAGAAACTGCAGGGTACCTAGTAATATGCTTAATACTTTTTATATTTCTAAACTTTTTCACTGGCGGACTTGATGCCGAGTGGCATTTTCTACCAGTCAACCACAGGTCAAGCAGAGATAATAAGTATGTCCAGTAAGTAGAAGAAAGCATAAAGTTAAATACTGTCAAAGCAAAAAGTACAGTCGACAGCACATCAAACTATGCATTTTTATTACAAAATAGCCTTTATTACCTACAAGATAAGACGCCCTGTGTTTAGCTTCATGTGCTGTGTCATCCCTACATTTATTTACTAAAATAATGAACAAACACAATGAACACCGATAACAATTCGGGTCAACAGAGATATAAATATGGGTTCAAAAAGCAGCGCACACTTTCGATACCAAATACCAAACAAAATGGATAAAAGTTTTAAACAAACATGCTTTATTTCGTCTTGTATTTTTGCTTCACCGATTTTAGTTTACAGAACCTTTTAATGGAATCAGACACGCAAAAACGAACATAAAATTCCAAGGTTGCTTTAAATTATGCGACGAGTCGGCCGCAAAAGGTTTGTTGTGGATTCGCAGAATGCAATTAAGTGCAGCCACGGATTATTAACAAAGTCAAGATTCTGATTTAAATGTAATTTAAAAATTATCTTGTATGCTTAGATTAATAAAGCTTGTATGTTGCAAAGAGATTGATAAAAAACCAGACGGAAGTAAGTTTAATCGTAGTACGACATGTTACAAAATATAGCTTTTGTGTAAATAAATAAATTATAGATTGGATTTTGGTCTCTATCTTGAATCAAAATTAACATTAGCGCGATTTAAACTGCGTACAGCGCCATCTGTTATCTTTAAAACACACTAATACAGAGCAAGATTAAAAACAAATGACAAACATATTTACCGGTATAGCCCCATTCAGGGACTCCTTCAGATGGATGTTAGTGAATGCGTACGCTATGACGTACAAAGCCGTCACTATCAGCAGAAGATAGACGTTTCCCACCGCCTTGATCAGGTATGCGCTCAGCAGCGATCCCATCACGCTCCCAGCTGACACCGCTGCTCCTAATATTGTTATTCTACAATAAATGACTAAAGTAAGCAAAGCTTGTCCTATGGGTGCTTGATACTAGATATTAAGCTAACCACTAAGTACACACCAAACAGCCAAAAAAATCAAACCGAATCTATAGAGCATTGTTTTAGTACCTATTTAAGAGTTTTTTTTTTGTTTGTTCGTTTCAGCCGAAAGACGTCCACGGCTGGACAAAGGCCTCCCCCAAGGATTTCCACCACGACCGGTCCTGCGCCGCTCGCATCCAGGCACCTCCCGTGACCTTCACCAGATCGTCGGTCCACCTAGTGGGAGGCCTGCGTCTTCCGGCTCGTGGTCGCCACTCAAGAACTTTCCTGCTCCAGCGGCCAACGGCTCTACGAGCTATGTGCCTAGTCCACACATTTTTTTTCGCATTTTAAAAAATACACACACTTTTTTCAGAATGTCCAAACAATGAACAGTAATTTATCAAAATTAAGTATTACCCATGATTGTGAAATAATATTGGCAAAAGGGCATTGTTCATACCTGAGCGATCTCGTCGATTTTGTCGTGATATCAGCTATGTAGCAGTAGGCCCCAGTAAAGATTACACTGATCCCTCCAGTGAATGCGAAGGGTATGGAGGTGAGAACATACCACCATGGTCCAAGGTGCATCATGCTGTAGATGACGACCAACATGGAAGACATTGTGATACCTAAAATAATGATTTTAGGTTTATTTAATTAGGAAATGGTCCGGCTCAGACCATTCTACTTTACCTGTACATTTGTATTTTTTTTCTTTCATGGCTTCATAAAGATGCCAACGTTTTTAATTAGCAGTCTACCTATATCCTTTTTCTCCTTTTAATTTTATTGAACTGATTTTAAGTTTTAGATTGATAATAAGAATGTGATATTAATAATAAAAAAGCAAAAAATAGTTTTTATGTCTAAAATTATTATAGGGTCATTCCATCGTTTCGGGTGTTACGTTCGTACACACATATTCAACAATTTCATGTATTTTGAAATAGTATTTTAATAATGTTAGTGCCTTAATCTGTCCGTTTTTAGTTGTTTTATCTAAATAATAAGTTTGTACAGCTTAGACTGTAGGATAACGAAAATATAAGTCGAAAAGTGTGCGTTTCGGGCGTTACGAGATTTTGCCTCTATGTTCTGACTGTTGCCGCATTTACTCGAAATTTAGCGAATTTTCTTAAGGAATCATACCTAAAACTTACAGGACTTCTAAAGTATGAAATTTACAAACCATGTAACATACAATCACTGATAAATAAAACGTTTTACTATTTTTTTATAAATTTTTTCTTTGTTTCGGGTGTTACAATGGTTCTGTTTCGGGTGTTACGAGTACGAAAATGCAACGCGTTTTATCGATAAAATCGGTGTTTTATTAGTCTCTAGGTACTACGAAATAAGGAGTACAACAAATAAACACAAATAGAGCGAATTCTGGTTTGAAATTACAAAGCAGCTTTTTTTAAAAAATAAATAAAGTTCAAGTTTAATTTTTCCTCAGAATATAGCTTTTTCTATTGTTTTTGGCTTGAAATAGCATTACTTTAATTTCTAATTACGATATTTATTGGAAATGTCAAACATCAACACTTTTTAGCAATACCTTAATTTTAGTGTTAAGTTGACATTTCAAAAAAGTCTTAAATTGAGAAATATGACTCCTTTTCCGATGTCAGCGTTAGTGGGAGGTCAAAGGACCCTCACAGTAATACTTTTTCACTTCTCCAAGCAATATACACACATTATCGACATATAAATAAAAATGTAATGCCCGAAACGTTTCGGGTGTTACAGTTTTTAATCAAGAAAAAAACATACTAAATTAGTATCATGCTCAGATATTAGTTAGTATTTGAAATCATTACTACCATGCCCTTACTTTTGCCAAATATTGTTACCCTAATCCATGTGTAAGGTACAATAATAAAACAAATACCTGTTTTTCTGTTTCGGGTGTTACATCGCCGAAGTAACAAGAAAACACACTTAAAACTTGATGATTATCAATTTTTTTGGGACTATGACGCTATCTACCAATACTATGATAAATACCCTCGAATCATATAGTGGCAAAACGTTTCACAGATTGATAGTTTTTTTAAAATTGTATTACCAATAATTAGAGAGAAAAGGATCATTCAGAAAGTTGACTTAAGTATAGACTTTGAAGACTAATAACTTAAAAATTACTTGTTTCTTTCAGATTTTTTTTGTTGCACATTATAATTTGGAATGTTTACTTTCAAAATTCATCAGATTAAATGCGAAAAGAACATATTTAGTTTTTCACCCTCGGTAACATTTGTCATGGAATGACCCTATATTAGCACAAAGAAACATGATAATGGTGATAATATCATATCATTAATACATACAGCTTGTGCTAATATAGTAGAATGGTTTGTAAATATATTTTATAATTGTTTGGTACAATTTTATTTTTAGTTTTATTTAAGTTTTAATTTGTAATTTTAATGTGTTGTGCCAAATTTTTTTTTTCCAAACCAAATCTACATTTTAATTTATAATATGCCTAAATAATGGAACTACAAAAAAGTTTTTAGTGTAATAAAAATGCTATGCTATTATAGTGATCATAAGCACTTACCAAGTAAAGACCATACTATGAGGGGTTTTCTGCCATGAGTGTCAGACCAAACACCAAGAAACATGGAAAGTATGGCCGGGCTGATAGACTCTAATACTGTTTTAACTGTCTGTATGAATGTAGCATACTTCTGCACTTCTTCCTCTAACTTATGTGTCACATTGGATTTTTCAGGAGTTAGAAAAATTTTGCATTCATCTAAACTGTGGTTTAGGGAGTAAACACAGGTCCGATATAAAATAATATTACTAATTGCTGTCCCTGAAATAAAAAGTAACAAAGCAGTTGATGTCTGTTACATTTTATAATGGAATGTAATTTAAGGAAGTCTTAAATTATTTTTATTTGTAGGTAGCGTTTCATCAACTTACCTGAAAGAGATACAGCTAACAGAGTTAAAAATAATGGTACCTCCATGGTTATAGCAAATGGCCTTCCCGGTAATTCACTGATGACTCTATTAGAAGCATTAGAAGTACTTTCTGTAACTTCATTTTCATTTTCAGCTGAATTTTCAGTATCTTGTGCCATTTTGTTAAATTTTTGTAACTTGCGGGTATTCAATTAATAATCCTAAGTATACTATTTCTGCGGTATAAACTTCGCAGTAGTAATTTAAAACAAATCGTGGATGCCGATCAAAGAACACAAGTTTAACGACTAATCAGCTGTATATCAAAATAAAACAAAAGAAGAAAAGATAATTGAACGAGTGAGTGAAGTTTCAGTGTTCGAGAGTGAAATGAATGAATAATTATTGAAAGTTTTGGGCATAGAGAAAAGTAATATGGTTTTGGGGTTTTGGATATTTTCTCCTCCATACAGTCTGTGATACTAACTGAAACAAAAGCAAATCTATCTTATCATTGAATTAAATGGTGGGTTCCGTACATTACTGGCATATTCTATTCCGCGTTAATCAATAACAACACAATTAAATAAACAAAATCCACCATCCTTCTCTTTTTGTTTCTTTTCCCGCGTAAAACTCAAGCAAAGCAAGTGAGTGAATGGTCATAAACAAAAGAACAAGAACGAATGTATTGAATGTCAGTCAATGTCAGATTTTTTTTTTCATGTATGTCAAAGATTGTATAAGTTATGATATAATTCCCCCTTAAATCAAAGAGTGTCGATTTAGGCCAGAGCCCCGATTACAGTAATTTTTAACGTCTCCAATCCAGAGCCCCGATTACGGTAACTTTTAACGTCTACAATCCAGACGCGTTTCTGATTCTGCAATACGATTGGTCAAAACAGCTGACGTACGCTGTTGAACGACCAATCGTATCGCAGAATCGAGAAGCGTGTCTGGATTGTTGACGTTAAAAATTACCGTAATCGGGGCGCAGACACGCTTCTCGATTCTGCAATACGATTGGTCGTTCAATAGCGTACGTCAGCTGTTTTGGTTTCCACCACAGCTGAGCGGAGCAGAGAAATGTGTTGACTTGACTATTCAATCAAATTTTAATAATGCACTTCTCGTTTCCGCCTGTATCCGCTCCGCTCCACGCTTCGCCGCCGCGGCTGTCAAATTTTGTAAAAATAACCCTCCTTCTGGCGTAGTCGGGTAAATTTGTTTTTAGTTTTACCGTTCCTTGCAGTCATCAGTCGATTGTACCGATTGTCCCATCACTTTGACACCGCCAACCGACAACTAGAAAAAAAAGTCTTTGTCTATGAATAAAAGGCAAATGAAAAAGGCAAGCGTTTTTGACAAAAAATCTTACGTTTCTGACTACTTTGCTCAATAAAATTGTGCGAAAATAAAGAAAAGATAATTATCAGTGATTATTTAGTTAAGGTAAGCTATAAAACGGGGACTATGTACAATAGAGGGTAAGCCGACTCATCCTTCAAGATTTGATGAGTCGCCTCTCCCCCTGTCATATTGTAACCACATCCGCCGTTGGAATCGTTTACTGTTATTTTTTGTTAATAATTGCTACTGTGTTCGAGATCGGAGCAGGTGGCAAAAGTTTTGACAAGGTTTTAAAAGTTTTCCGTTTATAGTGGACGTGTAATTCGTAAATCATCGTGGATATGCCACGACCTATTTTTAGACTGGCTTTCTTTTCGAGCCGCATTGCGTTCTGATATTAGCCGGTGTCTGTGCATTCCAGTGATTCAATGTGAATTATTTTTTAGGTGAAGGTGTAAAAGTGTCGATATGGCGGTAAACGTGTACTCCACTAATGTGACTTCGGACAATTTGTCGCGGCATGACATGCTGGCGTGGGTGAACGACTGCTTGCAGTCTAATTTCGCCAAAATAGAGGAATTATGTACAGGAGCTGCATACTGCCAGTTCATGGATATGCTGTTCCCTGGCAGTGTTCCCATGAAACGAATCAAATTCAAGACAAACTTAGAACATGAGTACATACAGAACTTCAAAATATTACAAGCAGCATTCAAAAAAATGGGAGTTGACAAAGTAAGGCTTTTGAATTTTTTCAATATTTTGACAACATACCTTCCGTTTGTAATATTATTGGTTCATGATATAGATTCATGGCTGAGTAATTTATTAGTCATGATTTATTATGATATCATGTTTAGTGATAACCAAAGGCAAAATAGATGTGACATTAACAGCTATATTTAGAGTTTGTTCACCTCTGACATAATTGGATTTTAGCGCTAAGCCTATGATAATTTGTGTTCACCATCATACACTGGTTTCAAGGTAGACATGATTTTATAAAAGAATTCTATTGCTCTTGCCTTGTCAATGGCATAAACCATGGTCATATCCATAATGGATAGTAGAATAATGAATGTCAATACAGAAATGGCCTAACTGTGAATCTGAGCTGGCCATACAGTATGTTAAGTTTTTATTCATGTAATTACAAATGTACTATTGTATCTCTATTTATTGCAATACAAACATATTGCATTAAATAATGTGTTTGATAAAAACTTTCTAAGAATATTTTAGTTTGTAATGCATAAAAATCTCTCATGTTAATATCAATTTTATAAACTTTCTAAATAACAAGTTTAGTGCTACATAATTATTTGTGAGGCCTTTGTCCAGCAGTGGACGTCTTTCGGCTGAAACGAACGAACAAATTATTGTTGAATAGGTCTTAAAACTATGCCATGTTCTAGGTAATACCAGTGGACAAGCTGATAAAAGGGAGATTCCAGGATAACTTTGAGTTCTTACAGTGGTTTAAAAAGTTTTTCGATGCTAACTATGACGGTCGCGAGTATGATGCGTTCGACGCGCGCGGCGGGCTCACGATTGGATCGGGGGCGTGCGATTCTGGGGTGCCTCTGTGCGCCGCCGCCGTCGCGCCCCCGCCGCGTCGCCGTGCCGTCCCCACACACCACTCCGGCAGTACGCATCCCACAACACTAGCCTTGGGCAGACCAAACGCAGGGCGGTAGCAGCGCAGTTTGAATGCGGGGCCGCGCATGTAGTACAAGAAACTCTTTGAAGTGTGTCACACCAAATTTGAACGCGGGCCCGCGCTCCAACCGCCCCGAAATACAAACGAGGCGGCGCGGGTGCGGGACAGAAGCGGCGCGAACGCGGGCCCGCGCTGTTGTATTACTATGGCGGTCATATTAGCATGACACACCGGACGCAGGGCGGTAGCAGCGCGTTGAAAGCGGTTTTTGAATATTTAAATTTTTGACAACCGCCCGCGTTGCAACTGCTTTGAAACTGCGCTGCTTTCAGTGTACCTCAGCCGCGCTGCAACTGACCCGCGTTTGGTCTGTGGAAGCCTTAAGCACCCCACGACACCCACATCACTATCCTAACCCCTTTCATACTCATACTCATTAACATCGAACCCTCAATTACGTGGAACAAACCCACATTTATCCGCACCGTAGAATTGTCGATTCTTTTTATTTTACTCCACTTTTTTTCTTTTGTAGATAGTTCCCATTGACAAACTGGTGAAGGGTCGTTTCCAAGATAACTTTGAGTTTTTGCAATGGTTCAAGAAATTCTTTGATGCCAACTATGGAGGCACGGAATATGACGCGGTGGCGCAGCGCGAGGGGCTGCCCATGGGCCACGGCGGCGCGGCGGCGCCCCGCTCGGCCGCCGGCGCGGTCAAGAAGCCCGCCGCGCCCGTCGCCAAAGTCGCGGCCAGACCCCAAACCAGTACTTACATTTTGTTTTCTTACATATTACATGTTGCTTGTACCTTTTTTGTTCGCTTTGTGGGACAAAATTACATAAATTCCTCGCTAATAAACATTGCATTGTTCATCATTTGTTGATACACTGTTCAAGTGTTAATTTAACATTTGGCCGAAGAAAACTAAAAGATGGCTATTATTTACCTGTTGAACAATGTTTGTTAGTACGAGGAAACTATTTGGAACCATTGCACATTTGATAAAATTTAAAATCATGTACATAAAATGTATACATCTGTTTATGCATATAAAATTCCAAGTATTATATCCTCCTTCCAACTGTACCATACTTAGCTGTTGCACTTCTGTTCACCTACTTACATACTAATGTGTCTATATTTATTCAGCATGTAATATTTCTATTTATCCTTATGAATAATTTAATATATTGACTGAGTTTTCGAATAAACAGTATTCTTACCTGTTATGTATTATATTTAACTTTTATTCGCGTAGACTGAAGCATAAAGTATCTTATGTAAAAATGTATTATCTAAATAACACACTAACACATCTTATTATAATGGACAAATGGACAGAATATTGATATGAATGTCGTTTTTGCAGTTGGAAAAGCTAACAGCACAGTGAGGTCTCCTCCAGTGAACTTGTCACGATTAAATCAAAGTGCGAAAGGAGATTCTAAAGTTCTTGATGAACTTAACCATCAGGTAATATTGTAATATCAACTGACAAGGCTGCCAATTTTTATCGCCATGTCCAAGTACCTCTACCTCTGTACAGTTTCAGAAACCAATTTATATGAAGAAAAATGCAAATTATTCTGCCCAAAACATTTGTGACAACAATAATTCCTTTAAACCTATCTTAACCCATTAACGCCCAAATGAAAACTACGATCAATTTCACATAGCCAATGTTTATTTTCTTTATAAAAATACTTCAGAAATAATACTAAACAGAAAGAAAACCAAAAACAAAATCAGAAGTTAGGTTTTCAGGGGTGTACTAAGTTTAGTACAATGGGCGCTTATGAGTCATGTTGAGCAAAGCCTCCTCCATACTGGCTCAGTGTTTTCAGGCACTTGCCATAAGATGTTTTGACTCTATTGAAACACACAGTAATTTTAAGCTGTCAAATCAGCTTGCTTGCTGGTTTATTTTGACTATAACCATTATTTCATATTTCTTCTCCATCAACTAGAGCACGATTACCTACTATTATTTATCTTTTATAGGTCAAATATGTGCGCTACTATAATATTTGCGGAATGCTAGCTGATCTAAGCGACTATATGAGTTTACTATGCAGTGCAGTCTGCATGCATTTGAAATTGGCATGTCCACCATATAAGCGAACAAGACCCATCCACCGCTTTTTTCTTTTTACCTCAGTTTGGTAAAGTTCCATAGACTATCCATCTGATCTAACCCACTAATCTTTTTATTATACTGGAGCTGGACACCCAGTGGTGCCTAACACTACTTTTTTTTATCAAGAGACCCCATATAATGACCTTTCCCAATGGTTCTAAAGCATCAAAATTTGTTCCAATAGTACCTACATTATTATCTTTCAATCGATACTAATAAAATTATGTTTGCCTTGTCGAATCTGTCTCTAGGCTTTTTGTGAAAATCTTTATAAGTAATCAAAGGATACCGTTTGGTTCTGTTGTCACGTATGGTTCCAAAAACTATGTAACTAAGTCTCTTTAGGTCGACAAACAGGTCATAATTGGGAAAACAAAATGTTTATTTTTGTTGTCTGTAACCCCATAAATAAAGAGCCATGTTATTGGAAAAAGAAAACAATGATTACATATAAGAACTATGAAGAAATAAGTAAACACTCTAATAATAATGTCATTTTTTTACTATTTTACGTAACATGTCAAGCGCCCATTGTACAAAAGTTAGTACAGCATCACTTTGGGAGTTATAGCATAAAAAACTTTCCATGAAATGAACTTTTTTATGTATTTTTTATTAGGATATGTTGTTAGCTAATACACTAACAACTTATTCGGTATTTTGTGTAACTTAAACCTTGTATAAAAAATTGTCAACTATCCACCAGGAGATACGAAAAAATCACTGAAACGAAATCGCAAAATACCCCCTTCAGATTTTATAATTATGTTCTGTTTCATCTCAGGATGTAATGCATAGACCTTTGTTTACCGATTGGAATTATTTCCAGACTTAAAATACCCACTAAATCAGATTTATCGTAACTTAAAGTTGTGTACAATTTATAGTACGGCGGGCGTTAATGGGTTAAAGCACTTATATTCGTCTGATTGTTATCAACAGTATTGCGTCGCTTCTTATCTTTACGTCAATGATGACAAGATGTAATAGAATGCGAAAATCATATTATTATCATCTCACTTCGTAAGGACTTGAAACACAGCTTACAAACATTAGTACCTATTTCATATAAAATTACAAAATATATTCTCAAATCTAGGTGCATTGTAAGTTAGGCTACAGCTCCTGTCATATCAAAATGATAAAATTAAAAGTATTTTCGGCTGTATAAGTTAGAGAATAAATGCTGATCCTCTTCATACAAATAACATTTGATCCCGATGGGATTTAAACCCGCAATCAGAGCTGGCGTATTCGGTACGCTAACCGTAATTCTTAAATGAACTTCTAAATTGTCTCTGAGAGTGTCGGGTGGTTTATGTTGGGGAACGCCCACCACATCGCAAAATTCCTCTTATACCTCGTAAATTCTAAAACAAAAATAAAATCATGAAACTAAAAAAAAAGTAATAAATAATTTTTTTTAGACATCTCTGTATGTATTATAATAAAGCGTCTAACATAATAAGAAACAAAAAAACAGCACAAATTTTTAGATCGTTATTACCGCATATTTAACTTTACATAATACTTTTTTTAACTTTCTAACAGGTAAACGAACTCAAAGCGACAGTTGACGGCCTAGAGAAGGAACGGGACTTCTATTTTGGCAAACTCCGGGATATAGAAGTGATCTGTCAAGAGATGGAGGAACAGCAAAACGCTCCAATTGTTCAGAAGATTTTGGACATTTTATATGCAACTGAGGTCCGTATAAATAACCACTGATATTGAATTTTGAAATCTATTACTACATTTCAATGTCTAAGGCTGAGTTGCACCACCTAACTTTAACCATTACTATAAAGATAACCAGAGTCTTTGTATAGTGTTTGCCAGTTGATGTTTGTTATAGTTAAAATAAGATGGTGCAACCCAGCCTAAATTAATTTATTTGCTTGCGATAGTACATCCTGGTTCAAAATAAGATTTGGAAGGTATATTTCTATGTCTCTTTTCTCAGCCTATTGAGGAGGGCTCCCCGCAAGTCTGGGGACTGGGTCAAAACTCACACATGCTTATTGAAGATTAGTGAGTTTTCTTGCCCAATAGGCTACCCAGTAAATTATTTTTTAAAAGGCCTTCATTTTAAACTAGGCAGTTCCTGAGATAGCATACGAAAATTATTTCCAAAGTGACAATTGAGCTTCAATGCAAGTTTTTTATATTTCGTAAGTGTGGCAAATATTTTAAGGTGTTAATTGACTACTGGTATATCTGATGATAGCCTTACGCAATAAGTAAAGAGAGAATGACCTTACTCAATGCTGAAAAGACCAATGTCGCTTATACTGTACGAACATACAAGGCTAGAGTTTTACTGACGGATTTTTGTATGACCGCTTTTTACGGTAAATGCAGTTTAGCATATAAAGCTTCTTCTAAATACCACCAGGCGGCGCCACTGTCTAGTATTTCGAATCGGATTTTACGAATCGCGCAGCTATCTCAGAAATTTCTCGTTTAATATGACTGGCACATACCAAATGCATGAAATACCAGACCGAACTTTTGTTGGTCATCTTGGCTACTTGGCAAAACTAGTTTCATATTCAAGCATTGATTGTAAATTGTTATCAAAAGTGTTATTGTACCAACCACCAAATTTAATTGAAGCTAAGAACGCGTAGTGCTGTTGACTAATTTTAATGTGAAAACGATCTAAGTATGCTCGAGTTTGAGTCTAGTTTTTACAAAAACAAGCACACTCCCGCCAATTGTTCGAGATTTTTATAAAATCTTTAGGCCTGGTTGCGCCATGCGCGATTACCGCGAGGTTTTTGCTGGGAAGTTCTCATACATTTGCATATCAGACCGCGCGGTCCTCAATGCCTCGCCAATAAGAACCACCCAGAAACCGCGCGTGCCTTAACCGGCCCTCAGTGTTAAGTAATAATAAATAAACTTAAAAATGTATTTGTTTTGTTCACAGGACGGATTCGCGCCTCCGGAGGAGATAGACGGCGACAACCCACACCCGCCGGAGGAAGACGAATATTGAAATAAACGTAACATCGACGCGTATCATAGTGCTCTTTGTATATTATCAACTCGAAATTATCTCGCTTAACAATCATCAACAATATCGAGTGCTTAGTATTTCACAGCCAATGAGTCGTCATTTAATATTATGATAGTTTATAATCACTTGGAACAGTGGCCCCAAAATGGCTCGAGCTTACGTGAATTTGTTACGAATCTTGTACATACAGACGCAATGTAAATGTGACATCACAACACCTGTATAATCTAAACAAATAAAATCTTTATACGAGTGGCTGTGTTATATCTAAGTACATTCCATAATTTGGGGGCGTGATTTCTTGACTGAATTTACTTCTAATTCTGAATGTTATATCTGTGGAATAATCCGTTTCTTATATGATATTGTGTTGAAATATATTGGGAGGTTGGTCGTATTGTGCAATGTGGTGCAAAAAGAGTGCTTCTATGTATTTGTCTTGATCACACCGTGTATATTATCATTTTCGGGCCACTGCCGCCCGGGCATGCATTTAATAGGTTGTTACATTGTTGGAGAGGTTTACTGTTACTTGTTTAATTCTGTTAATAGTATTGCATTTGGCTAAAATTATATTAATACTAAATTAGCAGTCTCGAGTGAAGCAAGATCTGAAAGTATTTGGACAATACGCTTTGTATTAAAATTATGTATTTACGTAACTTTCACTGATATTGTTGAACCTGACAGTCGGTAAACGGTTCCATGTAGTTGTGATATTTACATGACCACAATTTTAGGTTAATCATTACAAGACTTGACAATGTTTGCACTAATAACTAACTATAGGAGTATACTAATTCAGAATAATTTTAAATGTATTTAGAGCAGGGCAGTTCCTCGCGGGACAACTAACGACTTGTTGGCCGGAAGATGTTATTCGCTGGTTAAGATAAAATAGATAATTAATTTATTTACTTTAGCATTCATAAATTGCCTTAACAGCAGATATTAATTGCCTCTGGTTTTCAGATTGTGAATGTCTTATCAAATAAATAATAACTTTATTAAAAAATGTGTTTTAATTTAGTCACAAAACTCACAAATAAATAAATGCTATGTTGTATTAGCAAATGAAACCCCTTATTCATCAAAAGTACACCTCTAAATGATGAGTGTAGTGTTCGTCTAAACAGATACGCCAATGAAAAGAAAACCTTATTGGTATCCAGGGAATAAATATAAAAGAAATCAGAATATATTACAAACAAATATTTATTTTACATGTCTCTTAAATTCCATAATCATAATTTAAAAGTACATAAAATAATAAAATACTTTCACTGCCGTAAGCCAGCGGTTTCACGACGAATTTCAGCACCCGACTAGCGGACCCATCGTTCAGCGCCTACAAAAGATAACAGAAGACATTTAAAATTACCCATTTATTTTAAAAATTCTAATTTGTTAATCTATTAACAGGGTGTACTATAAACGAAGCAATTCTTTACACTGATAAAACAAAAGTTCTCAACATCAGATACGTGTAAAAAGAACTGCTTATTGTTACACCCTGTATAAGTATTTTGGACGCTGGACGATGGTGTCGATTGGACGCTGAAATTTACAAATAATCCGCTTCAAATATTGTACTGTATGTAGTACACAGTACAGCAGTAAATATTAGCAAATACAAGTTGATTTGTAACGTGCGATAATATTGTTGATAACTCAATACATTCGTTCAGTGATAGGCTGTCCATCACAAAAATATCATCTACTCTATCCTATAATTACAATCTATATTACATTACAAACACACATTAAAATAAGTCATCGAAAAAACGCGCAAACTATTTCTAATAAATCTTATAGATCTTAATAATATATTAAATACAAAATGTATTTTTAACATGATACATAATTATCAATTTTATACAATAAGTACAAACAAGTGAACACCTATAGTTGTAGTAGCAAGTTTATGTAACTTATTTTCTTGGTACGTCAATCGGAATACTTTAACATGAACCTGAAAATTTAGTTGCTGGTTTTTTCTGGTGCTTATGACTATTAGGCCAGTAGAATTAAACACAAAAATTGATTAAATCGGAAATAATTCCTACAAAAGATTTTTTTGCTTTAATGGCTTCATTGGTTGCCCATTAAGACTCTCCTAAGTTTTCGACTTCGACGGAGTTGTGCTTAAGTGGTGGGGGGCCCCCGAAAGCGGCGTTTTTTCGGTTTTCCGGTTATACCGCGTAAAGGACTTACCCTATCGAAAAGTGGTCTTCAGCAACCGCAGTTAAGGAACGGCTGGGACGAACAAGGATAGGCGCATCAAGCTCGTAAGCCTTGATAGGGTTACACTGGTTGAGGTGGCCCTTTTCAAGACTTGGTAGCCTGTGGGTAAGAAACCATTGGACGTGGAGAGGGTAATTAATTATACGTATATTTTCTACTTTGCCGAACATTAGCGCGAGAACGGTTTGTCCAAAACATATGAATTTGGTCTTATTCAATGCAGGATTAAGTGCCCTTCAACCGTCATGAAGACCACTTTTTGATAGGGTAAGTCCTTTACGCGGTATAACCGGAAAACCGAAAAAATGCCTCTTTCGGGGGCCCCCACCACTTAAGCACAACTCCGTCGAAGTCGAAAACTTAGGAGAGTCTTAATGGGCAACCAATGAAGCCATTAAAACAATAAAATCTTTTGTAGGAATTATTTCCGATTTAAAAGCTAATTCTACTGGACTATATAGGTTCAAAGCAATTGGAGAAAATTCGACACCGAATATCTATACAAATGCAACTTACATAAATATTCAACCAACCAACTTATTAAGAGCACTTACGTAATAATTAATTGATATAATAATACGTAGTTAATGCATTTATAGAAGTTAATCTCAAAACAATACAGTTAGACCTATTTTTCATATTTTAAGACACTATTTCGTTACTAACCTTTGTCTTTTATCGAGTAATTCCGCATGGCTGGGTTTCGCGGTTGATTTCTTTACTTGTGTTTTAGTTCGAGAATTCTTTATAATTGTTACATTATCATCGAGCGAAGAGTTTTTTAATGATGACGATAAATCGACTCGCCTCGTCCTCAGATTTCTAAGCTTCAATGTAGCGAGTTCCGTAGAACTGTTTATAGAGCTGGACAAATCTACACGCCTTTTTGACCGTAATGTCATATTGGGGCTTTCGTTTTCGTAAATTAGAGAAAGGTCCGCTACAGGTTGGGCTTTTTTCCTAGACACATTCTTTTTGTTATCACTTATATTCTTTGTAGGTTTGCTTTTATCAGGAATACTCTCTACCAACTTGGGTTTTTTACTGGGATTCCCATTCGATTTAGTTGATTTGTCGTGTTCAACGGCGTCGTCACAGCAGGCTTTTCTTTTAGGCGTCCTGATAGATCTAGAAGATATGCTTCTATTAGCAACAGTTTTATCAGTAGAATTACTACTTTGCTGATTGTTTTCTTTGTTCTTAATTTCATTTGGAGATTGAGTTTTTTTATTATTATTTTTGGTTTTATTTGGCGATAATACTGGTTTTTTAATATTTTTATTTACAGATTGCGTCACTTTATTGTTTTGTTTACTTTTAACTGGAGTTGGTTTTTTATTAGTTTTACTTGTTGTTTTGTTATTTTTGGTTTTGTCAGGGGATGGAGTTGTTTTATTGTTTTTGGCAGTATCTATACTCTTATTTGGTTTCTTTACTTCTTTCTTGCTATTTGTGTCTTTACTTTTTGTTTTAGTAGTGGTACTCTGTTTATTAGATTTTTTGGTATTTTTGACCTCTGGTTCTACATTGGGAGATTTGTAATCTAATGTTTTCGGATTTACTTCTATTTTTTGTTCTTTCAATTTTGTTTTTTTATGTATGGGTGACAAAAAGGATCTGATGCTAAGATTTTTGCTAACATTAAACTTTAGTTTTCCCATGTTATTAGTGGGCATTGTTTTAGATTTTATGCTTCCTGAAACTGATACAAGACTTATGTTAAGTGGATTTTGGTTCTTGACAGTTTTGTTAGCTTCTGTGATGATACCTGTAAACAAAAACATAAATAATATAAGTAATTGCTATTACAAGTAAAAAAAGGAGTAATGTTAATTTGCATGTAAATTCAATATTATTATCATACTTTTTGATTGAGCCAGATTTTCCTTTGCAGCTATATGGTTTTCTTTAACAGCAGATATCCTCTGCTTAGGCATAGAAGTTTCTATGTCACTTTCAAAGTCAGCATCCCAAAATGATTTGACACAGTTGTACACATTTTTCTTATGCTTATCTGGAATAAAAGAAAATAGCCCGTCAAATGTTTGGTACGAAAAATATGAATAAAATAGTACAAAACTATGAAAAAGTTATTACCATTATCTTCCGGAACAAGGGCTTTGTTAACTTCAACATCTGGAATGGCAGATGCCATAACATTTTTAGGCATTTTCTCAACTAGGACTTTACAATCATTAATTTTCTTAGAGTTAATGACATTATTCTTAATAGTCTTAGCTTTTGGTTCTTGCTTGTTCTCATCCGTTGCAAATATTTCTTCATCTGTGTAGGTGTCGCTTACATCGTCATTATTGCATGTCGAAATTACTGAAGTCACATCCCACTTGTCATCTTCATCGAGTTGCTGATTTTTGCTGCCTATGCTACTTATACTAGTTTTGTTTGTAACATTTGTCGCGTTCATGCGGTCCGGCGGGACTATCTTATGAATCAAATCCAGCAAGTTATTGTCCTCTTTAGCCACATCTCGACTAAGACACGACTGGTTCGTAACCAGTTTCCTTGCTTTATGTTTCTCTTGTTGTATGGCACTGTAAACATTAGTCTGAGGACTATTTACATTTATAGCATCATTGCTCATATTTTTTCTTTCAGTGACATCCATTTTTTGGCTGAATAACTTTCTCTTGATGAAACTAGGTCTCATTGATACATCACTAGTCGAGTGTTGAGTTGTATTTGGTTGTTCTTCAGCTGTTACTTGCTTCTCTTCATCAGTCGGTTCTGTTTGTGGTACACTAAGAGGTAGTATAGCATCTGTTAAAGGTGGGGCAGACTTTGAAATTAGTTTTTCTTTGATTTTGCCTGGTCCAGCCTTCTTTACTGGTAATTGAGGTTTAATGAACTCAAAGTCATTATTATTTTTCTGTGCTTCACTAACATTGTCTTCGTTTACTAATACTTGCACATTAGGTTCCTTAATAATGGTACCATTAGCTTGTTTGAATATTTCTTCATGATCACTGTCAGTTTCATTATTTTCTTGTGTGTTATATTTATTACTTGTGTGATTTTTAGGTTTACCCTGTGATTTATCTCTTTCTGGAATAGGTATTGATGCAACTGATTTATTGAACCTTTGAGATGGTAGTAGGAAGCCATTTTTGAATCTATCTCTCTGAGTGAGTTGATTGTGCATAGTGCTCTGAACATTTGAGGTGTTGAATCTATCTTTCTGAGTTTGTATTGGTAGATTTTGCATAGATGGCAAAGCATTTGAGGTATTGTATTTATCTTTTGGGGTTGGTCCTGGTAGATTTTGCATACTTGGGCAAGCATTTGATGTATTGAATCTATCTCTTGCATTCACAGAAGGCACGGAAAACATTTTCTTCATTGCATTTTGTTTGAAATTATCTGTACAATCTTTATACATGTTGCTTTCATTAATTTTCTTTCTAAAATCAGTCATGTCTGTCCGTGTTGATCTACAACTAGACATATTATCTCTGTACATGGCTGATGCGGTTGATTTACAGTCGTCACTACTAATGGAAGAGTCACTGCCTAGTTCTCCAGAGTCGTAACCAGATTTACGCCGATATCCCTTCAGAAATAATTTAATGTTTCTTCTTTTCTCAATTTTTTTCCTTATTCGCTTTTTCATGAACTTGTCGTAAGCTTCTTTGATCAATTTCAAATCATTTATATTGAAGTTATTATTTTTTATTGCTAATGCAATATCTACAGCACTCACAGTGGCATTAGAATCTGAAAAAACAATAAAAATATTGAAACATTAATTGGGAAAGGGCTCTCCTATGCACATCAGGTAGCCTTTGTCATTAAAATGATAATAAGACAGTGCAGGACAGGAAAGAAATACAAAACAAGTTATTAATATTAATTAATAAAGACACTTACCTAAACTTCTCATTGACATGGGAGATCCACTTCTGCCATTGTACATGGACCGCTGAGAGCTCACCCCGCCGTGGTAGTACGACTGATTTCGTCCTCGCATGTCCGATCCACTGTACATAGACATAGGTGATGTCTCTCTCCTGCTGTACATACTCCTCTGGTCAAAACTGGGTTCGCCATAGCGCTGTCTTCCGAAATTTCGGGACATATGCATGGTTGAGGTCATAACGTTGTTTCGAAAACTCAAATTTGTAATATTGGCATTGTTTATGTTAGGGCCCCTTGCACACACAGTCTGAAACAATCACAATTATTTAAAAATGTAGTTTTCTTCTTGTTTTTGCATTACTTAGATAGACAAGGAGATTTAAAGAATATTTCATTTATAATCAGTTGATTTATTTTAGTGCAAGTACTAACCGTGTTCTCATTCTGAAAGGTAAACACATTACTGGGCAATAAGTCACTTTCACTGTCCGACATTTTATGAACACAAAGTCTCTCACAAACTTAGTTTTGTTCTTGCAATGGAAAACTTTAAATAAATCTCTCCATTACGACCAAAATAAACCCAATCGTAAAACGTAACCGCCGATTCACTTGAATGAAATTGAAGTTTGTTTGGGTGACAGACGGAAGGTTTTGTCTATGATAAACTTCAAGCTTGGGTGGTTGTCTCTGATTTTAGTGTTGGGAAACACGGCAAATAAAAAAACCGGTACAAATTAAATAATGAAATGCCAAGAGATAACACGGCGACGATGGAGCCGCCCTTTACAATACCGCTGCGTGTCCTAGGAAGGAACATATCAATGAAACTACGAGTATAGATGACCCACGCTGAACTGTCCCACCAAACTCAATGACAAGGGGGCGCTACTATCGTTCAACTATATGGTTTGCAACATGGCAAAAATCTGAACCAGCGATTCGGTATTGACGGTGGCGCCCCACTGTCAATGTCATCGACAGGACAGTCCAGTATTTTGGAACTATACATTAAAGTCGTGGGCAATGAGAGCCGCCTCCTCATCTTTTATAAAAAAAAACAAATTTTGAGGTTAGATTTTCAGAAAATTGATGAAGAAAAGTAAATATTTATAAGATGTGTTAAATCTGATCAAACCTTTACGAAAATGTCGCATGTAATAAACTTTAGCCTCAAGCATTTACTGCCTGCTACAAAATGCTACTTTCGAGGAAACTTTTCATATAATTTCTGTAAGTACAGCAGTACAACAACTAACAATAATTCTGGCAATGTTCTTGATAACTTGACTGACTGGGAGACTTTGAGTAAGAAGAAAAAGATTAGCAAAGCCATGAAAGCTTATCTAGAGCGGGCCCAAGAACATGATGAATTTATGAAGAAACAACAACAAGAATTTACTATTGGGAAACGACATTTGGCTAATATGATGGGCGAGGATCCCGAAACTTTCACTCAGAAAGATGTGGATAGAGCTATAGAATACCTATTTCCTAGTGGTATTTATGATCCAGCTGCACGCCCGTTAATGAAACCCCCAGAAGAACTATTTCCTGCTCGCAAAGCCGCTGAATTTGATGAAGCAGGGCGACCACATCATTTCTTGTTTTACACTGGCAAACCAAACTTTTTCAAACTACTTTATGATGCTGCAGATCACATTAAACAGCTCCACAACTTTGAAGACAAAGTCATCCGAAAGAAAGCCACTCCTGACCCCAACGGCGTCCTTAATTTAGAAGGAAGCATGTGGCTCTCCAAAGAACAACTAGAACAAATTTTAGTAGAGAAAATCCTTGACATTGAGTATGACAACTTTAAAGTCGTCATGGAAAGACTTACTTCTTTGCCATATGCTTACAGAAGCAAGGAATTTATTGAAAAGTACAGAAAGACTTTGGCTGCACAGAAATTTTCATTGGAAATCCCAAAACCTAATTACGATGATGATGGCCGTGCCTTTGTGACAACTTATGAGTGCTTAAGGAAGAAAGCAAGAGGTGATGTCACTATTAGATCACCAGGTACTGGAAAGATCACTATAAATGGTAAAGATATTACATACTTTGAAGATGTGCAGTCCAGAGAACAAGTCCTGTTCCCTTTGATATTTACTGGCATGCAGGACAGAGTAGATGTGGAATGTAATATTGAAGGAGGTGGCCCATCAGGACAGTCTGGTGCCATCAGATGGGGTATAGCTTGGGGATTGCGCAGTTTCGTAGAAAAAGAAACCTTAGAGAAAATGCAGTTAGCTGGGTTGCTAACTCGTGACCATCGTCGTCGTGAACGCAAGAAGCCTGGTCAACCTGGTGCCAGGAAGAAGGCTACATGGAAAAAGCGATAGTTATGTCCAAACCATATATTTTATGCTTGTGGAATAATAAAACAATAGTTCTCTATACATTTTTTATTATTATAAATCAGGCATCAGCCCACATTTGCTAGCTTTTTATCCTGTAACTCTTTTTAAGGGATTTCTTTCTTCCTCCAATTTTCTTCTGGAACATTTGGTTCTTCCTTTCTTTGTTGTATATTCTTTTCTTCATTACTGATTTCAATTCCCTTCTTTCCTTATGAGGTTCATTGGTTTCTGTTTTGTTAAAGAATGCTAAACCATCTGTAAAAACAAATTGATGATTAAAGTTATGGACCTATAATTTAATTACACAATAATCTTATTTTTTGAAATCCTATAAATCTATTTTACCTTGCAATCTGCTATCAGACGTTGAGAAAAACAGGTTTTCTCTCCAAACAGCTTTGGGTTCTGCTGTTTCTATTTTTGTTTCTTGTAAAGTCTCCTGTTTCTTGTCTTTGCTAACTTCCTCATCTTCAGAGTCTGAAGAATCATATACAAATGGATTCTTTTTGCCACTTGGATCTAGAGGATTCTTTACTTTTGGTACCTTTGGTTTTTCTATTGCTATGTAATCTGTATTCTGATCAGGAGCTTCTGAAAATAAATAATTTAAAATTAAATTTAATCACTATTCCTACATTTCTATTGAAAAATAGTACCTACCTTTTACTTCTACACAAGATCAACAAGATGCCCATGTTTACCTTGAAGTGACATTTGCAACTAAATTAAAAAAATATTTGTAGTACAACTTATTAATTTACCTTTCTCTGTCTCTTCATTCTGTCCAAATAAACTACGTAAGCTGAAAGTGGTTGGTTGAACTAGAGCTTCTTTTAGGGTCTCAGTAACTTTATAAAACTGCTCCTTTGACACCTCAATTTTGTCCACTTCAGTTTCAACGGTTTCTGTTTTCTGCTCCTCCTGTTTATCCTTTAACTTCTTTTTCGATTTTTTTGCAGGTTCTTTAGTCTCTTCCACAGGTGCTAAGAATTTTGCATGTTCAGGCTGAGATGGATCAAAACGAAGCATTCCCAATTTTGTTCTGCAAGAAAAAAATTACACTTAAACTTTTACAATTTCCTAGAATTGTAAACTAGTACAGTTGTGACAATCCTTTACAAATGGTGAAGTTATTTTTAAATACAAACATACTTAATTTTACGTGTATCATTATCAGTTGGTCTTGCTTTGATAGAGACACCAAGGACATCTTGTAAAATATTGAGCTGCTTTGTTTTTTCATCTGCATTGTTTAAATCTATCCTTTCTTCTTCGTCTGGTTTGCCTTGCCCGCCTTCCTCTTCCGATTGGTCATCTTCAATGAACCTCTCATCTAAGATGAAACGTTTATCAGATTTGTATCTTGATTGTAAATCTAAAACCTTAAACATTGTGTGGGGTGTAATAAGTAAATTACAAAGATAATTTTAGATGCATGAGATTCTTTAGATATAATTTCAGTAAATAATATACCTTTTGTCCCTTTTTGCCCTCAAACTGTTTTTTAATCTCAAAGTTAACTTCATCTCCACTGTCATCGTCATCAAATAATGTATTCTTTTGGTCAGTTGATTTTGAAGTCTTCATATTTTCTTTTCCATTTACTATCTTGGATTCTGTTTCTTCTTCATTATCTGAGAATATAACTTTTTTGTTGGGAGCTTTATCCTAAAAATATAAAATGTATTAGCTTTATAAACTTGTATTGCAATGATTAATTAAGTTAAACCTGCATTTGATAGGATATAAAAGACTTACAACTCCAATTAAGCCAGTTTTTATTATCATTTGTTTTTGTTTGAACTCTTGTCTTTTCTTTTTGAGTGACTCCATCCTCTTCTTGTCTGAATCTTTCTTCTTTTTGTCATTTTCATCAATGTTGCCATCTTTAATTGTATTATCGCCATTTTGGAGGTCTTCATGCACTTGATTCTTTTTTTTCTCAAATGGTTTTAATACCTTTAATGCTTTGTTATTTTCGCTTGATGTGTGATCCAATTTCCTTTTTCTTGGATTTAGTTTGTCACCTAATTTTATAACAGGATTCTTTTTTGGTAGATCTTCTACTTGATCTTGCTGCAAATAAACGATGTAAAATGTAAAACTTATCAATATTTTTATGTTATAAATAACTCAGTGGAACAAATATCATTAACAATCAATACCTTTTCAGTTTCTTTTCTCTGTGCTTCACTTCTTTCTCTCTGTAGCCTTTCCAAGAAACTTTCTCTTGCTCTTGTAACATAAAGTCGACTGCCACCAAAGTCTTCATTAGAAAAATGCTTTATACCTGTGAATTTGCAATTTCAGAAATTATTAATATGAAAATGACAATGATCTATGCGATAAAATTACACTGATGAAACTAACAAATAGACGTAAGTTTAAACTACAATGGTAAACTTTTAGATAATAGAATAGGGATATTAGAAAATTAAAAGCCCACATGAATAACCAAAGATCTGAAACCCCTTGCTACTGAAATTTATTGAAATAAAGGTTTGTATAAATTAAAAAATCGTTTACTTACAGGACTCGACTTCATAATTTGATGCAGATAGGGTAATAAATGCAAATTTCTTTTGATCACTTTCAGTGTTGGACTTGTTTTTAAGATCCACATTGATTATTTGTCCATACGATGAAAAAGCTTTGAGTAGATCATCCTGAGTAGCATTTTCAGGTACGTTTCCTACAAACAATCGTGTGTGCGAAGACATTGTTTGCAGAATTTAAATGTATTTTTATAAAATTTTAAAAACGTAAATACATACACATGATAAATTTTTAGGTTAGTTTTTAAATCACAGACAATATGACGTTGACATTTATGTCAAATAGTGACGTCCATTATCGGTATCTTTTGGACAGAGAGCTACCGATAACAAAAAAGATAAATAAGTATCAATAAAAGTATAGATCGCTCAACAAAAGTTGAGGCGGACGGTTCTCTATTTGCAAAATTTTTAGCCTGAAAAATTAAAAACGTCATACGAATGGAAGGGATCCTTAGCGCGGCCAGCGTATAAATCTTTGCTTGTGTTGATGGCCTCAACTCTCGTTGCGCGTTCTCAGGTTGAGATTACTGCGCACCTGGCAGCCGAGACGTCACTCAGGGGACGGGTCGAACAAAACAGTGGGTCTAGACAAAGAGCAAATTATAATCGCAAACCAGTCGAAAAGTGGTCGAAAAGTCCCTTTTTTGTATGGAGTTTTGACGGATTCGATTTTAGATTCGATCAAAAAGTGCGTTTTGTCTAGGGGGGTAGGTGTGCGGGTTAGTGGGAGTGAGAGTCGTTTTCCCGTGAGGTTTGTATGTACGATTTCAGACTCGTAATTTATTTGCAAAAATTTTACCCGACAACTAAATAAGCATTCTTTTTGTATCGATTGAACGGTGGGTATTTTCTTAGCAGGCTTTTTTTTTTAAAGAGTTTCGTTAGGTCCCCTCGTATTAAGCTAAATGTTATGCTTGTGTCAACGAATAGGCTCACCACAATAGTCAAACGGCGACAGGGTTTGAACCCGCATTCCTGGGATGTTGATTCAGCCAGTCCCTGTCCCCCTTCAAGATTCTGCTATCGTAATTTTAAACCCCCTTGTAAAATCCCCTACCCGATCATGATTCCAAATTTCGAACCTTGAACCTTACAGGCATTTTATCTCATCTGGACTTGATTAAATTAGCAGTTAGATTATGAATAAAAAAATAAATATGGGAACGTTAAATAAAATCACACAAGATTTAAGTAATATAAAATCTATTGCCACAAATCTCATAACACAAACCTGTTCATAATACTGTGTCTCTTAATTACCAATGTAGTGTCATTCAGAGGTATGTGTGTATTATAAGGATAGCACAGACAGTTTATAAAAATATTCTACAAATACATAACAGGTTAACATAATTTATCAGTGTATTTGATTTCAGTATCCAATTTCTAAATTCCCACCCAACCAATATATTATTGAAATAAAATCTATAGTCAGTTTTTTTGCGTATTAAATAGATAAGTACAAAGATAGACAGTCAATCAGCCTAATTAAATAAGACCCAGTTTGTGATCTATATTAAACAATAATAAAAAGCTTGTCATATTAAATTAATGTTTACATCGTAAGGCCGAGGTAACACGGAAATAGTAATACTGTCACCCAAAAAATCATAAAGATTCTAACAGTAGAGAACCATTTTATCTTTGTTGTTTGTTATTTGTATCTTTGAATGATTTGTCTCTTTTTATCACACTGGAATCTACATTTGATAGAAAGTGACAAAGCATTATTATGTTGTGTTGGGCAATACATTAAACTAGTATACAACCACGTGACAAGCAAATAATTATCTTTACGGGTACACTTACAGCTTGTATTTAATTCTTTTATTGGTAACTCGGCCTTATCGAGTTTTACAAAAGGTTTATCAAGCTAAACCATCATAAGGCCGTTTCCACAAGGCAGAGCAGAGCGGAGAAGTGTTTTGAATAACCAATCAGATTTCATTATTTCCACTTCTCTCTGCTCCGCTCCAATTTGGTGGAAGCCAGGCCTTAAGCCCACAGATGCTTAAAAATTATCTAATAAAACTTTCTATTACAAATAAATTATTTTACGTTAAACAAACAGACCAGTACCTACATCAAATTTCTGACTCGTTTTAAAAAAGTATCACATTAAAAGCGTAAAATCAATACCATTTTTGTGATGCGCGTTTGTTTATTGTTATAGATATATTGTGCATTTTATTGTAGTGATTGAGCCATATTGCCCATACTTCGAACAGGATACAGTTACATTTGATACAGACACAATTCCCGCCTTAGGCAGTTCGATTTTTTCAAGTTATTTATAATTTTAAAAAAGGATAAAGTAATTTCTTCTGCAGGTAATATTGCACCTTATAGCGTGATTTTTGGATTGCACTTTGCGTAGAGCAGTGCCAGTATGTAAGTGTACTTTAAAATGGTTATTCTATACAATCTATTTACACAAAATGTCTACATTACAACTAATCTGTATACAGTAACTATATGAACAAGAAGTAGATAGAATACATAATTACATGATATACATTATACTTTATTGGTATTGCACAGCCGGGGTATTTGACCTTTCAGAGTTCCTATTTTATATCTAAATTTAATTGCAAAATATAAGGTATTTAATATCATACTGCGTCATAATTATTTAATCATTGACTGAAGCGGGATAGAAATATTACGTTTTCTTTGAGATATTATGTTTTAAAATAGTAGTAGGTTTGTAGGCTATAATAAAATATTTATACAATCAAATACCCCGTTGAAATATTAGTATACAGTTGTCGGTAGAAAACTTTGTTTGTACAAGATCCTAACTTAGTGACGAAAAGGCACCGCTAAGTATTCAAGATAAAAGTATTGTCTTTTTAGAAACGCTGTGAAAACAGATAATGTACTTTATAAATATGTTTAATGTAAATAAATAAATATACAAAAACCTTGGATGCGTTTAGTTACGAACAACCAGCATTATAGCTATGACAGGAATTACATTAGAAAATTTTAATTACACTATATACGAGTAGTGAATCGAAATCCCAATGGTTTCCTAGCTAAAACATAATAAATATCAGAAAATAAATAACAGATATTTTACGTAAAATCTTTTGAAATTTTTAGTCATATTTAATTACTGTTTGGGTCTGAATTTTAATAAATAAAAGCAATTAAAATTAAATTCCCTAATATTTAGTTGTGACAAAACTATGTATAACCCATCTTATTTACATATACTCTTACCTGTCACATATTGCACTAAATTTAAATAATAAATGTAAGGAGTAACAGAACTGGAATGATGGTTCCTACACTGTATGGTTAACAAAATAGGTTTTACTTAACAGTTATAAATGCTAATCAAATATGGTAAGACTAGGAATAAAATAAAGTGCCCACACGCTAAAACAGGTGCACGTTTACGTTACCACACGAATAGTTCTATTATTTTACATTGAATGAAGTTTAGTTATTGCTGCAAAAATATAGCTTTTCATAACATTTGTACAAGCTTAATTACGTTGTGTAATTGAAATAACTCAAAATCTCTTTAATAGACCCTTAGCTATGTTGTAATAGAGTGTAAAATACGTTATTTACTTTTTCAGACTTATTGAGTTAAGACGATTTATAACATCTGAAAGAATTTAGATTCTGACCTCCGTTACCCCTGGGCCACACCACAGAATAAGTAATAGTACAGGTACAGAAGGATTACTCCGCAAGACGATTTAAATAAATGCGAGTCTTGTTACGACGCGATACATTGGAATTCAGCTCGCACAGCACTACGTACCTACAATTTTATTCACCTACAAGTTTTGTCTCTTTCTATCGCGTGCCTCTGAACTCTTCTTACGCTGTTAGGGTTGCTGTCTAGTAGTGTCTAGTAAAAAAATAATTAATCTACTTATTTGTAATGAATGAGGTACGTATGTAGGTAAGTACGCATTCATTATGAAAAACCTTGGGAGAGGCCTTTGTCCAGCAGTTGACGTCATTTTTGGCTGAAACGAACGAACGCATTCTAAGCAGTAGTCATGGTAGGTTAGGTTCCTATACTATCCTAAGAATTATTGATTACCTACATGGCCAACATACCTTTCAGCATCTTTGGGAAGCGAAAAAAAAGATAAATCCGGTAGATTTCTTTTCGAATTTAAACACCCGAACGCCGCACAATAATATTTCTTTCTCTTTATGTCCATTTTTAAATAATACTTCGATCATAGAATTAGGTACTACAACGCACGCCAGCGTCCTGACGGGCGCGCGCGTGACACTCGACTGATATAATACCCGCCGGCGGGGCGCTTCGCTGTAGGTAATTATCGGATGTACCGCGCGGAGTGAGCCAGGCCTGGCCACACGCATCGTGATAACTAAAAGATTCGTGCTATCGCTATGTATGTAGCCAAGTATTCGCATATAATGATACATAGTTTATTTGACTGAAGACATACTATATTTCGGTGCTTTTTTGCATAGACATAAGAATTTACTCTGTCTATGAATGTTATAGCTATGTGTGTGACCTAAGGGTTACTGATAGAAGTTAACTTTCATGATAATAAAACAAAAGGAAGTTTCATAAGGACGTACTTTTAAGTTATTTCAATTACACTACCAATGGTAATTATATTAAGTTTTCTATTCTCTTCTATCTACGTGATTGGTATTTTTGTTTGATGTTTTAAAGTGTATTGAAAATACTTGTAGAAGAACGTTGAAACAAGTCACACTACACGAACTCTTTATTTCTAATTTATTTAAGTTATTTTATTTAAATCGGTGTTATAGGAATGATTGTTTTCAATAAATACAAGTTGCTGCTAAAGGCTTGCAAGCCACGGCAATTAACAATTTTCTACTAGAATTACATCTATATTCTATGGAATTGGTGTCGAAAGGTGTTCAAGTCATTTTGTAAAATAATTTAAGGGACTTTAAAAGTATTTGTTGAATCACATGCCTCATAATAGTTCTCTCAATCATATTTTTAGTTGTTGAGAGATTTTAATTCTAAGATCAATCACGTTTCACCTTTCGATCAAATTGACATTTTAATTCAAAATTAGCGGGAAGTGAGCGAGCAGTGCAAATTGTTCTTCGTCTAAATTGTAACGTAATTCCACAAAAAATCGTGTGCATCTATCAAGTGACGGTGTGACACGCCGCGAACGCTCGCGGAACGTTCGCGGCGGCGTGAGCGCGCACTAACAGTCCTTACACTAAGACCAGAGTCAGACCGAGCCGAGCGAGCGTTCGCAGTTGCTACGTCGGCTCGTCTGATGACATCAGCGCTTCTGACTGCTCGTCCAAGTCGGAGATGTTCCTTATTGCTCTGTAATAGAAATGTTGGAAAACTTAATTTGGTACCTAACGAGAACCATCATCTAGAGAAGTTATAATTAATTGTTGACACATTAAAAACCACGAAGTGCAAGTGGAAGTTGTGCCAGATTATATCTCTTTAATAGAAGAAAACTGCAGTCTATCGCATAATACTTTTATAAATAGAACAGAAACCGAAAAAGGCCCAGACGGAGCCGCGCCCGCTGTACACCTTAGGCCATAGATACTCATGAGAATCCCTCTGCCGCCCGCAACCGGTTCGTTAGCCAGCTCATAGGTCTCGGCCGCGGTAGTTCAACACGGCCACCGCTACCGCGCCGGCCCAGACGGAGCCACGCCCGTTGTACACTATTCATCATAAGTATCTAACTCACGAGAATCCCTCTGCGGCCCGCAACCGGTTGGTCAGCCAGCTCACAGGCCTCAGCCGCGGTAGCTAAAACACAGCCGCCGGCGGCGTTAGCCCAGACGGAGCCGCGCCCACTGTACACTAATCATCATAGATACTCACGAGAATCCCTCTGCGACCAGTAGTCGATTCTTCAGCCAGCTCAGAGGCCTCGGCCGCGTTAGTTCTAACTTCGCCGCGCCGGCCCAGACGGAGCCGCGCCCGCTAGCACATCATGGATCATAGATACTCACGAGAAATTCTCATTAGTTAGCTGACCGGCCGCGGGCGCCCCAGCTACATAACAGGTTTCCATTGAGTCGGCCAGACGGAGCCGCGCCCGCTGTACACTATTCATTATAGATACTTACGAGAATGCCTCTGCGGCCCACAGTCTGTTCGTCAGCCAGCTGACAGGCCACGGGCGCGGCAGCCGCATAAGTTGGTATCCAATAAGTACACAATCCTAAACCCATCTTTATTTAGATACTTACGAGAACCCTTCTGCGGCCCGCAACCGGTTCGTCAGCCAGCTCACAGGCCTCGGCCGCGGTAGTTCCAACACCGCCGCCGCCCAGCCAGCAGCCGCCAGCGCCGCCGCCGCGCCCGCTGTATACTAATCATCATAGATACTTACGAGAACCCTTCTGCGGCCCGCAACCGGTTCGTCAGCCAGCTCACAGGCCTCGGCCGCGGTAGTTCCAACACCGCCGCCGCCCAGCCAGCAGCCGCCAGCGCCGCCGCCGCGCCCGCTGTATACTAATCATCATAGATACTTACGAGAACCCTTCTGCGGCCCGCAACCGGCTGGTCAGCCAGCTCACAGGTCTCGGCCGCGGTAGTTCCAACACCGCCGCCGCCCAGCCAGCAGCCGCCAACGCCGCCGCCGCGCCCGCTGTATACTAATCACCATAGATACTTACGAGAACCCTTCTGCGGCTCGCAACCGGTTCGTAAGCCAGCTCACAGGTCTTGGCCGCTGTAGTTCTAACACCGCCGCTGCCCAGCCCGTGGCCGCCAAAGCCACCGGCCCAGACGGAGCCGCGTCCACTGTACACTATTCATCATAAGTATCTAACTTACGAGAATCCCTCTGCGGCCCGCAACCGGTTCGTCAGCCAGCTCACAGGCCTCGGCCGCGGTAGTTCCAACACCGCTGCCGCCCAGCCAGCGGCCGCCAGAGCCGCCGCCGCGCCGGCCCAGACGGAGCCGCGCCCGCTATAGGCCTCCACGCACACCGCCAGCGGCAGAACTAGGCCCAGCATGCTGGTTGCTGTCACTGTGCTGGTGAACGACCGGCCACTGTTGACAAACGCGCCTTTCGTTACTAGGCTGATCACTTTCCTATCTACATCTACACTAATATTATAAAGAGGAAAATTTTGTTTGTTTGTTTGTAATGAATATGCTCAAAAATACTGGACCGTTTTTAAAAATTCTTTCACCATTCGAAAGCTACATTATCCACGAGTAACATAAGCTACATTTTATTTTGGAAAAAAATGGGGTTCAGGGGTCCACGCGCGCGAAGCCGCGGGCGGAAAGCTAGTCAGGTATAAGTTTAGGGAAGCTGTTACAACACTACGCTTTAATCAACGTTCTACGTGTGTTAATACTTATGAATAGTGCTAAAAGTCGTGTTTCTTCTCTGCAAGTTAGTCAAAAGGCATTCTTCTCCAATTATTTTATCTGTGAACGTGATATTGTGCAAATTGTGACGTTTTGTATAGGGTATGCAAAACCGAAAGTTTATCAAAAACCGATTTTTTTTTCGGTTTCCAAGAAAAAAAACCGGTTTTCGGTTTTTAATCGGTTATTATCGTTCTATTTTTTTTTTCAATCAACTAGTAGTTACATACAGCGATTTGTTACGTCCTGTCCGTTTTGTGTTAGATTACATTATTTAAGAGAGGGTTATAACAGTTTTGATAAATTTAGCTTATTCATTAGGCATTATAGGCACATAATGAATAATGACTTGACTTATTTATGGTCCCATGTCCCCTAGATCGTCCAGAGGCAGAGGCAGAGGCAGAGGGCAGAGGGCGTCCACAACAGTCCTCCATCGCGTTCGGTCTTGAGCTATGTGTTTGATCTCGCTCCAAGTCTTGCCGATCTTCTTCGCCTCGTCTGCTGCAGTGCGCCGCCAAGTTTGCTTGGGGCGACCACGTTTGCGTTTTCCTTGGGGGTTCCAATCCAGAGCCTGCTTGGGGATGTGATCGGGATCCCTTCNTTACAATAATTACGATTAGTATTTGTTTACAATTACGATTGATATAAGCAATATCTTAAATTAAAAAGTAGAATAAAATGTAAAAAGCTTTATTTGTGAACGTTAGGTGGTATTTCTGTCAAATTTCAATACACTAAGTTTTACAGTAATAAGCTTCTGCAGATATCGCAAATAAATGAGATTCAATGTTCAAAACAATTCAGAAATAAAAACTGTTCAATTCACTCACACATTAGGTTAATTATTCACTGCAATAATCACCAACTATCTGAATCGCGGGGTGGGTCATGTCAGGTGGCGGGCGCGGGCGGTACGAGTATTATTATCGGGGATTCCCCGTTCAAAGGTAAACGACGGAGTAACCAAGTGACAATGTTGCCAAGTTATAAATTGTAAAATAACCAAATATTCGTCAAATATCAAAATACCCAGGTTATATTATATTAAAATGATATTGCTTATTTATGGAATTTGTTACGTGTATACAGATAGAAAAACCGATTTAAATCCGGGTTTCGATTTTTAAAACCGGTTTTAGAATTCGTCGAAAAAGAGCGGTTTTTCCGATTTTTCGGTTTCCGATTAACCGGTTTTGCATTCCCTAGTTTTGTATGAACTAGCCAGGGAAAAAACTCACGCCACGGACGACAACGCCGCGGATTCTCAACGTCTCCACCACGGAGCAGCGGCGTCGCCGCTCCGCTTTGAAAACGCTTGCAATCCGCCAGTGTGGCAGTTCACTAAGGCCCAGGCCGCACTCATCGCGATAACCCGAAGATTCGAGCTATCGCGACGTGTGTAGCCGAGTATTCCCGTATACGGTCCTATTTTGCATAGTCGCAAGAACTTCGCTCGGTTGTCGCCCGAATGTTATCGCTATGTGTTAGCGACGTCAAGAATAGTCAAGATTAATGTTAGCAACATCATGTCAATTAGTTCAAATTAACTAATTAATCTGTTTCGTAATTAAGAAAATGAACATGAAATTTTCGTCAAAAAGGCAATACCGTAGCGAAAACCGTCAGGCTCTCTCGCTTACTCGGTAGGCCTCTTTCTTGCATTGTCTGATCTCTCACTTCCACAAAATAGCTTCTCTTTCACACTTTTCTGGAGAATCTGGAATGTTCAGGAAAAAATAGAGAAGAAACGAGACTATGAGTGCGGCCTCGGCCTAATAGGAAGTCACAGATCAGCACACTCACAGCAGCCACAGCGACTCGAGCAGCAGCGGGCCGAGCGCGGCGTCGAGCAGCAGCCAGCTCCACAGCCGCGCCGGCGGTAGCTCCGCTCGCTCCGCCCCGCCCGCCGCCAGCGCCGCGCCTAAAAGCCACACGAGGCAGCCGCTCGCGCACCCCACTAGACCTGATGAGAATAAAATTATAATTAAAAAAAAAACTTTTTTATAAAAACAAGCTTTATTCTGAAACTAGCTTTCCGCCCGCGGCTTCGCCCGCGTGGAATTTTGTCTGTCACAGAAAAACTTTATCGCGCGCGTCCCTGTTTCAAAAACCGGGATAAAAACTATCCTATGTTCTTTCCCGGGACTCAAACTATCTCTATGCCAAATTTCATCAAAATCGGTTGCGAGGTTTAAGCGGAAAAGCGTAACAGACAGACAGACAGACAGAGTTACTTTCGCATTTATAATATTAGTTGGGATGCAGTTGTACTACGTACGTAGTAGTTTTTTTAACTATAATTTTATTTTACAATTTTTAGTTGTTTATCAATCTCAGGATGATTGGTGAATTTTGACATATCTGTCAATGTCATGTCAAAAATAACCAATCATGCAGCATTTGGACCTCGCGTATTGCCATCTGGTGGATTTTTCAATCGCGAAAACCCTCATTGAACGCGCCTAGCAGTCACACGAGGCAGCCGCTCGCGCACCCCACTAAACCTGATGAGAAAAACAATACTCTTGGAACTTGTTTAAACTTGCTTGGTGCAGATACCGCCAGATTAAAATTGTACATGTGACATCTTTTATAGTCTGATCCGGGAGCACGTAGAATTTTGTCCAATGATCCCAAGCTACCCATCCTTATCGCTCGCGCGTAATTATACTGTGCGACGGGCGCCCGCAGTGAGTGTGCGAGTGCGATAGCAACATAATTACGCGCGAGCGATAAGGATGGGTAGCTTGGGGTCATTGGACAAAATTCTACGTGCTCCCGGACCAGACTATAGAAATAAATACTTTTTACTTTTTTGTCTTGGGACTAAGTCTGCGGGCACGAAACTGGCGACGGCCGAGCAATTGGCAGGGCGACACGACTCGGAGGGGCGAATGGAAACTAGCACCAGCTGTAATTGAAAGCGACCAGCAGCCACACGAGGCAGCCGCTCGCGCATCCCACTAGACCTGATGAGCAAAACAGAACTCTCGGAACTTGTCTAAACTTGCTTAGTGCAGATACCGCCGCGGCGGCGGCGATGAGAAATAATATTGCATTGCAATCGCCCCGCCCGTTTCGTGCGCGTCTCCATATCAATCAATCAATGCGCGGGGGTAAGGAGTGTTGCAACGCGACTGCGAAAAATTAATGGAAACTAGCGCCTGTAATTGAATGCGCCTAGCAGCCACACGAGGCAGCCGCTCGCGCACCCCACTAGACCTGATGAGAAAAACAATACTCTTGGAACTTGTCCATGAACCACACTAAAACCAGGCTTGTTCATCTCAGCGAGTTTGCGTGGAAAACAAAATACGCGCGACGGCACCTCCTTAGATATTTAACCTACAGGACAATCACGAGCGAGCATTGACGCACGCACGTGTATTCTTCACCCATTTGCATTGTAAAGACTAAACTATGTATGTAAAAACGGTGGTGTAATTAATACTGTGCAGTATTTTAACTGCCTGAATAATAATATAATCACATAATATAATTCATGCTTATTCATGTACTAGCTGACCCGGCGAACTTCGTACCGCCTTAGCGTAGAGATTTTCTTAATATTTTTTTCCGTAAGAACCATCCTTGGACTTCCACAAACATTTAAAAAAAAGAATTATCGAAATCGGTTCAGCCGTTCACACGTGATGCCGTGACAACGCGAAACGGGTTTCATTTTTATATATACAGTGTGTCCGGGCATGTAGTGATCAAACTTTAAGGGCGTAATCTATGGACAATTTTATCGGTGAAAATACTTTAAATTTGGGGCTTGACCCATTTCTCACATATTTACAAGGATTTAAGGTTTTAATTTTAAGTTTTCACCTCTTCCTTTAAAAACAAGTGATAGCGTGGGTAGTTTAACATTAATAAGCAAAAATTTTATATCATGCGATAGCCAATAAAATTATCTATTAGTAGAAGTAGAAAACAGATACAAGTTTCATACATTTTAAGGGTGTAAGAATGGATTTAATTAGAAATAAACATGATTTTTTTCACATCTTTTTCAGTTATTTCCCAACACAAGAAAAACCAGGTCGTTAAGGTATGTTTTATTTGCATTTTATTATTAGTATTTGAGCTATTCTACAAAACGAATGTAAATTTATTAGTCTACGTCTATTAGTTTCGACGTAATTGTTAAACAGAGATACCCATTCCCAGCGGTTTCCATAGTAATCGGAATAGGTTGTGTGATTCTTTCAGGCAGTGCATTTTCGCATGTCGCGTGCCCTATGGAAACCGCTGGGAAGAGGTATCTTTGTTCAATAATTACGTCGAAACTAATAGACGTAGACTAATAAATTTACATTCGTTTTGTAGAATAGCTCAAATACTAATAATAAAATGCAAATAAAACATACCTTAACGACCTGGTTTTTCTTGTGTTGGGAAATAACTGAAAAAGATGTGAAAAAATTCATGTTTATTTCTAATTAAATCCATTCTTACATCCTTAAAATGTATGAAACTTGTATCTGTTTTCTACTTCTACTAATAGATAATTTTATTGGCTATCGCATGATATAAAATTTTTGCTTATTAATGTTAAACTACCCACGCTATCACTTATTTTTGAAGGAAGAGGTGAAAACTTAAAATTAAATACTTAAATCCTTGTAAATATGCGAGAAATGGGTCAAGCCCCAAATTTAAAGTATTTTCACCGATAAAATTGTCCATAGATTACGCCCTTAAAGTTTGATCACTACATGCCCGGACACACTGTATAGATTTTCTCCGCCATTTTCTGCAGTTTGGCTCCTCACGTCACACATCATTTTACCGAAGTCAGCCCTATGGCTTAATGGGCGCAGTACCGATCACTGACGTTTGTCAACAAAATGGTGCTCGACTCTTGAGACAAGCTAAATTACACCATATTGCTAACGACGTTGAGCATTCATTTTATTAAATACCTTCGCGAAGAAAACTTTCTGCAAAGCGAGGGGAGCGTTGCAAAGCGCGAATTCGAATACGACAAATCAACTACACCCACAAACAACGTATTTATAAATTCTAGCGTAAAATAACAGCTATTACAGACTTACCAACAAGTAGCGGTGAATTGATCCCGTCTCCTTTCCTGAGCTCCCGTCGGAAGAGCAACAAATGGACGGCGTAGAACACGGCTGAGCCCAGCGCAGCCAGCACCGCCTTCCAGCTGTTCGTATGGCTCTCTGATATGCCCAAAACTACCTGTAATAATGATATTGATGTATGAATATCCTTACTTTATAATAAAGCATAACTGAGGCCAAATTAGTGCCACTTGCTAACTAAAATTTTAACTCTACTCTTCTCATCATCATCATTTCAGCTATAGGACGTCCACTGCTGAACATAGGCCTCCCCCAATGCTTTCCATGTTGATCGATTGGTAGCGACCTGCGTCCTGAGCTTCCCTGCTACCTTTATGATGTCGTCGGTCCATCTTGTGGAGACGTCCCACGTGTGTCTGTGGCAGACAATCCCGAAATCGTAATTTCGAGATTGTCTAGCACCGTTTTACAAAACGGAGGGAGCAGCCACGTAGAATTAACCTCTTCAGAATTTAACCATCCTCCTCTTTCAAAGCGAGATGCATATACGAGTGACGGTGACAGGGAGATACGAAAAAGGTGTTAGAGCTCCCGCAATACAGTAAAGACGTATTAAACGCTAATTATATGTCAACTAAAAACAATTTTTGTTAGTCTGACGAAAATACTATCACAAAACAAAATACACTATTAGGCTGAGTTGTTGTGTTTGTTTAACTTTAAAAAAATTAAAAATCGGTAGAATCCATACAAAAAACATCGGTCATTGTTAGCCTAGGCGCAGACCACAAACTTTTTGTCGGCCGATAGTTTAATAGGGCAGATAATCAGTATAGGCGCACATTACACCGATTTGCAATCGGCCGATTCTTCATACAATTAAAATCGGGCCCAACTATCGGCCAACTAAAAATTGATGGTCTGGCGCCAAGGTTCATAGTTACGGTTAAAGTAAGTTGGTGCAACTCAGCCTTAAATGGATGCTAAACAAATTTACCAGTCCCGCGGCAGTCAGCAGCACTGACACGCACTTTGACAGCGACAGTCTGTCAGTGGGCGCTTGTGCGAACACAGCGCCGAATGACAGCGCTAGTGATGCGGTTGTAGAAGTGTAGATATTGGCCGAACTCGCCGGCCCGTACAAGATACTCAGCCGGTACAAATAGTTTGATATGAACCACTGTAACAATAAAATACTATTGTTATTGTGTGATCAAGGCCAAATCAGTTACGCTAATCGATTTAAATATAATGGCATGACTTATCTCAATATGTAAACTGGATACTGGATAGATAAGGAACCTTTACATACCTATTGTTTTATAGTCTAATAACATTATTAGTTTTTAGTCACTAAACTTTTGGAAAGTAGTATGATAATATTTTGGATATTAGGTATTTATGCTAATTATGTCTTTATGAGACTAAAGATTAGAACCTAAAAAAGCTGCCTAACTTCTGTTGTGTCCAAGTATTCTGTAGCGCGTTTTGACGCAGCCCATGAAAAACATGCAAATATCGCCTCTCCTGACATAAAACGCACAAGTTCAATACTCACTGGTATACAGAACAAAACAGCCAGCTTGAGGTGCCTTCGTGTGGCCGCGGCGGCTGCTCTGCGCTGCGCATACTCTGTAGCGCGCACTGAAGCAGCCCACAATAGCCGCGCTAGTAGCGCAACTGATAGTGTTTTGTTTTCTTGAGACAAGTTCAATACTCACTGGTATACAGAACAAAACAGCCAGCTTGAGGTGCCTCCGTGTGGCCGCGGCGGCTGCTCTGCGCTGCGCATACTCTGTAGCGCGCACTGACGCCGCCCACGATAATCGCGCTAGTAGCGCAACTGATAGTGTTTTGTTTCCTTGAGACAAGTTCAATACTCACTGGTATACAGAACAAAACAGCCAGCTTGAGGTGCCTCCGAGTGGCCGCGGCGGCCGCTCTGCGCTGCGCATACTCTGTAGCGCACTGACGCCGCCCACTATAATCGCGCTAGTAGCGCAACTGATAGTGTTTTGTTTCTTTGAGACAAGTTCAATACTCACTGGTATACAGAACAAAACAGCCAGTTTGAGGTGCCTGCGAGTGGCCGCGGCAGCCGCTCTGCGCTGCGCATACTCTGTAGCGCGCACTGACGCCGCCCACGATAGCCGCGCTAGTAGCGCAACTGATAGTGTTTTGTTTTCTTGAGACAAGTTCAATACTCACTGGTATACAGAACAAAACAGCCAGTTTGAGGTGCCTCCGTGTAGCCGCGGCGGCTGCTCTGCGCTGCGCATATTCTGTAGCGCGCACTGACGCCGCCCACGATAGCCGCGCTAGTAGCGCCTCGCCCGCCATCGCAGCGGACATAACTCGCACCTAAATGTACGTGTATAATAAATATTTCCTGTAAATTCATCATTTTCCTGATCATAAATATTATTTCCAAATTTCGTTTCCTTTTCTTTTCCTAATATTCCTGTTTCCTCGTTTTTGCAATCGACGCTGGCAAGATAAATACATATACAACGTGTCCCAAAATTCAACGACAAGCTGGCACTGTAGGGTGGACATGGTCATGACCACTTTAAAAAAAACAATAAAAAAAATTGAAGATAGATTTTTACTTCTTCATTGTAATATTAATGAACTGAAATCAACATGTTTAAATACATGCAAAAATATCCTTAGATTAGAGTACCCAGATAAAATAATGACAAACAAGATTTATTTATCTTAGAATAAATCATAAATAATAAATGTTACCTCAGCCACTTTGTTGAACCGAACAGCTCTAGGCGCTGCATCGTCACTGTCAGTGGTCTCCCCTGCTCTGACGGGCACAAAAGTCGAGTCCCCCTTCAACAATGATAAATATTATTAATTACAGGCAAAATGTATAAGTTTATTTTATTATTGCTGTGCCCTAACAGGGTGCATGTGATCATGCCATTTGCTACATGTCATAAAAAACTCATAACTCGTTTATTTTTGCAAACAGGCTTTTAAAAAGCACCTTTACACGTCCCAGTTTTAACCCTACCACTGCTTCGGGACAATAAATGGGCCAATGCTGAGAAGAAGCAGCATAAGAAACTCAGTCACTATTGTCAGCCTCCTTTTCAAGGGTCAAACCACACATGTAATGCAAATAAATGATTTAATTTAATAACACACAATACAATTTAATTTCTTAAAAATAGATATTTAGGTGTATTTCAATTCAACACTGGTGTCTCTCACAATAAAATAATAACAAATAATGTAAGGAATTGCCAGAAAACGCAGAGTATTTAAAAAAAGTTAAAGTATACTCACCAAGCTATTAGTAGACTCGGTGAAATAATTCTCATCGTCTGTTTCAGCTGTCGGCTCTAACAGTTGCTGAAATTACAAAAATAAGTTAGGTACCTACTGAATAAACAGGCACATTTTTGAACATACCTTATGAAGCAATAAATTATTACCTAACCTAATAAGTTACTTCTAAGTCACTCAATTTTTTTGTCATAGTTTAGTGTGAATCTTTCCATAGAACTTTTTTAAATAACAATCTCAGAGGTTTTAGTTTTTTGTACAGTACATAAATATTTTTTAATAGACAATTCATGTATTTTCGCTAATAAATTTTATTAATATTATAAGAGCTCTATAGCATTAAATAATTGAGACTTACAGTGTAGTCGGCAGGTCGACAGGGGTCCCTTGTGGGAGGCGCAAAACACAGCACCAATAGGTAGACAAATAACATAGAACTCCGCACATAGGTCACAAGGAATGGTCTGTCCAATTTCTTTTCAACATATATAAACTGTAAAAAATAAAAACATATAGTAATCACCTGTAAACAAAGAATTAAAGCGTAAATAGAAACTCCTCTACTTACTTTTGTCAGTTCTGATGATGCGACCCATAGAACCACCACCAAAAATAAAACAAAGACACCGAAAGCGAATTTTCTCTTGCTGACATTCTGGGTGGATTCCTTGTTGTTTTTATTATTAGGAAATACACGAAAATAGTTATGGCACAAAGTCAACATGAAGATGAATGAAGAAGTCCAGTGAGCTAAATTTTGTTCATACGAACAGTGGCATGTCAATGTTTTTGCACTGATTAGATATTATTAAGAATGCTTTATTAAACGATTAAAACACTTAAATCATTGGCATTTATACCATGAAAATGGTAAAACTTGCACAGGAACCGTAAAAATGGTAACAAAATATTTGACAGTTTTAAGTTTGACAATTGACTGACAGGTGTCTCATTCCCTGTCTCATCTGTGGTCTCATTGAGACTTTTTAAAATTTTCATTAGTGGCTTTGGATTCTAGTCATTTAGTTACTATACTCTATGGATCTAGCTAGCTCCTTGACTTGAGCCATCTACCCTGAGACTGCGCATTGAGAAGTTCGTTCGCATGTTACTGCATACAAAAAAACGCTATTAGAATTTGGAACAGCACAAGTTAATTTTTTAATTAAAATTCATAACCGGTATCTGCTAACATGAAGCTACAGATAAAAATGGAGGCCACACTCCGAATACCTACTTGAAGCACAAACTAAGTATCACTATCTCGCTCTCTGTGGGCAGACTCGCTCTTTCTAAATAAACAAAAAATATAAAATTGCTCAAATTCAATGAAACCAATGTAAAATCTTTATTTATTGACATAGGTATCATTAAAAATGATAAGTGTAATTACTGGTAAAACGTTTTAGGAAGAAATTACTGTAAAAAATGTGAAAAATGTTTACAATGATCCAATAAAATTATCACTTCACGGGATTTATTGCAATAATATCTATTTTAATTTTATATTTAATTTTATAGTAAAAAATGCAACATAATAGTTTAAAATGATCCAATGTCGGAAATCACGAAATAAACACTTACGCGTGGAATCTTATGTCACTTCCAGGACACCACGTACTACCCATGAAGCTAAAGATAAAAATGGAGGGCAGAGTTGGAACAAAAACTTGAGTCAAATACCTACTTATATCTATCTCGCTCTCTGCGGCCCTACCTCTCTTTTTAGTGTGAATTGTAGTATTGCTATCTTCTGATTTAAATCTCCTTGTGAATTCTTCGAAATAGCCAATTCACTAACCAAATCAGTGGTGCGATTGTCTAAGGCAATCGTATTCATTTGACAGTTCATAACGTACGTTATGATGTGTCAAACGGCTAATTCTAATTGTGTAAGGAGTTCATAAAACGATAACGATATGATAACGATTTGATCGTAATTTTATACGATGAGTGAATGATGAATATGATTTTGACAGAAAATTCGAATTGTCTAAGTTTCATGAGCCCATTGCTAATGTCAAATGATTGCGGTGACTCGTAACTCATGATAATCCATTGAGTTATAATGTACTACGTACTAGAGAAGACATGTCAACTAGACTGTTTCTGGCATGTAAATAGGTCCACGGACCGAAATACAATTAGTATGTGCTCAGCGGTTGCTGTGACAACACGCTTGAGTGCAGTTTTGTTTTTTGAAATATGCCATCCTATAGACGAAAATACTGTTCAAATAACTCCAGATACATATTAAGTAAAAATCAAGGAATGACTTTTTACCATTAAGTTGTACATTTATGCACTTTAAAACACTAATTTAATTTTAATTTGTTAATTACAAGGCGTCACCGCGGCGGCAGCCATTTTACGAAAATTTCAAAGAATAAAAATCGCAGACTTGACACTGACGCATAAATTAGTATACGAAAGGAAGGCAGTCTAATTTTTTAGAAATCAGCAGAAATGTCATCAAATATGGCCAACTGACATAAAAATATTTTTAGTCTGTGAACTAGTGATGCGACAAAACCTCTCGTTAATCGCGAAGTGAAATGTTGTAGTACTTGCGTATCATCGCCGGGTGATCGTCAAAATACTAAAAATATGCAACAAAGTCGCAACATTGAATGTGAACTGATTATGAAATTTTCGAGAACAGGAAACAAAGCATTAATACTTATGACTATAATTTGTATATTTTAAAGACTGTAAAACCTTGAAAAGGAGGCTGACAATAGTGACTGAGTTTCTTGCGCTGCTTCTTCTCAGCACTGGCCCATTTATTGTCCCGAAGCAGTGGTAGGGTTAATATTGGGACGTGTAAAAGCGCTTTTTTAAAGCCTATTTGCAAAAATAAATGAATTTTATGAATTTTTATTTTTAAACTGTATGACACAGATGTAATCAAAAAACACACTGGACAGTAAAACAATCAATGATTTCCGTAAAGTTATTAAACTTCTGTTGCTTGCTGCGTGATTGGTGGATTTTGGTCATGTCAAAAATAACCAATCATGCAGCATTTGGACCTCGCGTCTACGTATTGCCATCTGGCGGATGTTTCAATCGCGAAAACCCTCATTGAAAGAAGTTGTTTATTTTCTTAAAAATAAACATTTGGAACAATACGTAAGCATAATTGCATAAAAAAGTAAAATAATTTCGTTTAAATAAAACCGACTAAAACTTAAACTGACTCCGAAAAAGTAAACACTAAAAGTAGAAGAATAAATTTACGTTATCTCCAATATTGTCGAAGTTATCGCTGGAAAACTAAACAAAGTATCGTATAATATTTTTTATTTAAAATTAATCAGTAATCGGAATAAGTGAATACTTACAATAATATCGATTAAATTTACAGATTATTGTCTATGACTCACAGGTTACGGCACTGATGTGTCAGAGACAAGTCATAGACAATATGGAGATAACACATGATTTTAAACGTCAAGTCAATTTGACAATCTCACAAATTTTCATCGTCCACGTATTTTGCTAAAATAATTTGTTTCAAAGATTGATTTCAAACTTGTATAAACGTGAAAATAAAGTTGGTTTCATGGGCTTGTTAAATAATGTGTATGATATTATGAACACGTAAGTGATTATGGTGTAATTGTGTATGAAAGTGTTTGTTTACATCTCTGCTGGATTCTAAAAAATCAAGGTATACCATTACCTTTGTTGTAGATGACCCACGCTGAACTGTCCCGCCAAACTCAATGACAGGGGGGCGCTACCATCGTTCAACTATATGGTTTCCAACATGGCAAAAATCGGAACTAGCGATTCGGTATTGACGGTAGCGCCCCACTGTCAATGTCATGCACAGGACAGTTCAGTATTTTGGAACTATACTATGGTTGACCATGAAGAAGAAAAAAAAATGCGCCAATGAAATCGAATGAATGAACGAATGAAATTGAATTGAATAGAAATGTCAATGACACAGGAGTCACACAAGCCGTGCGTGCCAGAAAAAAAAAAAAAAAAGACACAGAGTCAGCTGTCAGATGGTCAATGAGGAGTAATTTAATTTTACGAAGTTGAACTTTGTGTGAAATTTCAATATTTTTCTGCCAATTTTATCAATAAATATGTGTGCATGTACCGTTGAAGTTGTGAAACTGGTGGGAAAATATTTAAATACACCAGTGGGCCCAATATGTTATAACACCGATAAGGTTTACTATTTTTTTATTTTCATTACTTTCAATTTTGTATTTTTATAAGTCCTAAATTATTAAAGCTTACACATTTGCAGGTGCTAACAACGGTTCTTGATAAGCAGAATGTGGAAGGTTTCGCTAGCATTTTGTTGAGGTTAGCATCAAAAAGTGGAAGTCCAATGAGTCAAGATCAGACGCTGCTCTGCTATCAATGGTTGGAGCACATTGCTATGTATTCAAACCAAGCGATCACGAACCCCACGTTCGCGAAAAACTTCTTACAGGTTATTATTATTTTATTTACTATACTTAAATAAAACCTGCTAGACAAAGGCCTTCCCCAAGCATTTATACAACAACCGGTCCTGCGCTGTCCGAGACCAGCTACCCCCCGCGAACTTCACTAGATCGTCGGTTCACCTAGCGGGAGGCTTGCCCACACTATTTTTCCCAGCAATGGACGTCATTTGGCTGGAATGAACTAACTTTAAAAAATGTATGCTTCCAAAAATTTTCAGTTTCCTTTTCAAATTTGTTTTCAGGACATCAATAAGGCGCTAGAAAAAAACACTTATTTGACTGGACAGTTCCTAACAGTAGCAGATATAGCAGCTTATTATGTATTATATTCGATACTGGTATGTATATAACTATTATAACTATATGGGGAAAGATACAAAATTTCTGCAAAATTCTCAACCATTTTTTATTTACAGGAACGTTTATCAGTGTCGGAACGTGAATCTCTTCTGCATTTGTGCCGATGGTCCAAACACGTTCAAGCTCAGCCAAGAGTGTGTGCCAGTAAACCACCTCTCCAATTGAACACTTTGACATTGTGTCTGCTTGCACCAGCGGTGCATTGAATATACTGAATTATAAATTATGTGACATTAATTTATTAAATAATAATTGTATTATTTATATTTATGTTTTGTTGATCCCATCTAAGCTTCAGTGAGCTTTTTGTATTTCTTTTATGGATATTTCATTGTACACTAATAAAATTGCAACATCAAAACTAAAAAATATTTTTAACAATTTTATAGTAGGTAGGAAATCTATTCCTATATCAATGATAAAGGCAAGGCAGCAATGAAAAGCAATGTAAGCTAGGAAATTTGATTTTAAATAATTGCTATTTTATGTATTCAATCTCAATTTTATTCGCAGTAAAAAAAGTTGCACACACAACATAAAGTTGATTGAAAGATAACATGTTTTTTTATATTTGGTTAGTGTTTTTCGTTTGTGATTGTGTGGGTAAAATACCTATTTTATTTCTCTTTACTATTCAAAGTCTAACAGAGGTGGCTGAAATATCTCAATTTTCAGGTAGCCAAGTCTCCAATTCCTTTGCCTAAGCAGCTGTATCCTCATGAATTAAAAAATGCAAGTCTGGAGCGCCCTCTGGTGTATCATCCACAACCTTTCTCATATCCTGGCTATCCAGTAATTTTGTACTTGTGAGATTTTGTGAGTTACCTAGAATTTTTAGTAAATAAATACTTTAATTTCTTGGAAGTCTTGGAACTACTAAATATTATGCCTACTCCAATAACTTAAATCCAGGGTACTTAATAACTACCTACGTAGGAAATTCCTTGTGAATATGATTCAGTAAGATATTTTCCCAAGTCTTACATATCTCTTAGAACCCTAGGTGGTCGCATGAGACCGCGGTATTGTGTCTCGATTCGTTGGACTTGAAGGGCTACTAGGTACGTGTCTCACTATTGCCTACGTCTTAGTAGCAAAATTAATACGGTTAGACAAACATTCTTGCTATAGATTATTCGACCGAAATCCTACCGAAAAATTAAAGGCAATTTTACGTTCAGATTTATTCTGATTTGCATCGTAAACGCTAGTGACTAACATACAAACTCTATAAAGCTATTTTTTAAATAATTTTTTGTCAGTAATTAACCGTATTAGCATCCATTGTTGTAACTCATGTCATTTGTTTGAATGTGTTCCAAGTTAAGTCCAGTTTTTCCCATTTTAGTTTGTTGTTTTCTGGTTGCTCGATTGAGTCTTGCTGGCGTCTGACTTCAGGCGATCGGAAAAGCGTAGCATCAGACACCGTTCCAGTTTGTTGGAGTACGAACAACCGTTGTCTTCGGCCTCTGCAAGGACAAACTCAGTTGAAAAACTTAATATAAGTAACTTAGTTCTTACTTCTTAGAACTTTAAGTACCTATAGTAGGTACATAACTTAGAAGACCAGTGTTAGTGTAAAATTCACAAACCTTTTGAGCGGATTAAGTAAAAGTAAAGACTATTAAAATCTATATTATCTACATTTGTGTAGTCGCTACTATACCTATAGCTTCTTGTGGCGACGTTTGTAGCATGTGACGTGAAGCCCGTGTGCGGCGACCCTATGTGTAATGTAAATTTTCCTTTGTTCTTATTTACTTAAATAGAGATTCCCCAATCAGATCTACTAGGTCTCATGGGTACCACCACTTAGTCTTTGGAGACACAATTGTATGTGAGTGGTCTTTGGAGACGTATGTGAGTTTTTATTATTTACTAAATAAAGTCTTGCTTACCCGATTGTAGCTCCTGGAAGCAAGCCCTTATCTGGTCCCGTAGAGCTGCCCGCGATTGCTGCGACGTCACTGACGACTGGACCTTATTCCACAATTCTGCCTCCCGCGGGATTCCCCTAGAATCCACCTGTCACCACCATACTTGTTAATTAGTAATCCTACTTCCTAATAATATCCTACTAATATTATAAAATGCGAAAGTTTGGATGTCTGGATGTCTGGATGTCTAGATGTCTGGATGTTTGTTACTCTTTCACGCAAAAACTACTGAACGGATTTTGATAATACTTTACAGTATTATTGTTTATAACCCAGAATAACATTATATTACATATTTATGACGATCTGTGACAAACGAAATTTCACGCGAGTGAAGCCGCGGGCAAAAGCTAGTTTGAAAACTTATTGATTAGAACAAGCAAAAAATGTAGGTTTAGGCTAATAACTTACCACTTGCAGATTAGCAAATATGCATTGGCTCAGACACTGTAAATAAAAAATATTTTTGCGATCAGCGGTTTTTCCAAGGCAAAATTAAATAAAGGACACGGTTGCGTGTCTTTTTACGCAGTAAATAAATTATTTAGACTGTGTCACAGTAGTAGAACATCCAATGAAGGATGCTGCAGAGGCAGTAGTAGGCGTAGGTACAGCAGTAGGTAGGCCTTATTAGGTAATATGGTCAAGGTGCCGCGGGTGCCTAAAAGATAAAGAAGACCCACCCTGCTGGAAAGTCGTAAAAATGTCCAGATTTGGAAAAATAGAAGCTTTCACCGGTAAATATGATAGGAGTGGTAGGTAAATACAAAGCAGTACAAAGTATTTCACTTACGACGCTAAGTTACTTAGTTTCCTACCTAAGTAGCTATATCATTAGCTTTGGGTTTTATATAATAAAAAAAGAAAAAGAGGGATGACCAACGTAGTAGTCATTACCGGATTTTGGTTGTCCATACCTATAGATTTCCAAAATACAAACGGATCTGCTGATAATGTTTATTTATTGTTCGTGACTTTTATTTTTTGAAATGACATGATCTCGTATTTAGGTATGATCTCATAATTTTTTGGGAAAAAAGAAAACAAACCATTATTGGCCATAATTATGGCAATATTACCCTTTTATAATAGCAGACCCACCTACGTTTTTAGTCTTTTTAGATACCTACGAGTTTTTTTTGTAGAATTTTGATTTATTTAGGTAGCTTTAGGTTGGTTAGGTTCCTTATGCCCGTTTTCACCATCAATCCCTAATTTTTAAGTGACCCCTATAGTAACACATAACATGAATTTTGTTTTCATAGGGGTCACTTCAAAATACTTACTAGGTATAATAAATCTGTACTTGAAATATATTTTCAAAACAACTATCAGGGGGTGATTAGTGATCGATACCGATACTGATGCCAAAAATGCAATCAGTAAAATTTTTGTCTGTCTGTCTGTCTGTATGTTCCTTATAGAAACAAAAATTACTCGACGGATTTTAACGAAACTTGGTAGGTAGGTACAATTATTTTTCATACTCCTGGGCAGGTTATAGTATACTTAGGAATTCCCATGGGAACGGGAATTAGAGGGAAAATCCTTTTGTATGAAAAATCTAAACCGCTTAAGTTAGACGCTTGTAATTTGGCATGCAAGTACTTTAGTAAACTTTAAGCTTAGTTACAACAGGATATTGCAAAATTCTCACGGGAACGGGAGTTAGCGGGAAAAACATTTGTATGAAAAAATCTAAACCGCGTAAGATAGATGAAGGGGGTAAAACGGGATCCACGCGTACGAAGTCGCGGGCGGCCGCTAGTACCTAATAACTAATGATCTCCAAGATAACAACGCTGCAACGGGATGCTAAAAATGTAATATTACCTATACATTCAACTAATATCTAATTAGTAGAAAAATAACACTGCGGAACAAAAAAAATAAAAAAATCTGCGGCATCTATTTTGTTAATGGATTTTGTAAACACTTGTATTAGACATAAATGGCGTGCATTTACTTTCTTTGGATTGACTCTGGTTCTTGAGATAAACGAGACGTAAGAAATCAATGAAAAAAATTAAACGACCCTCTCTAAACTTATATTAATTTGATTATACCCACTAAGTTTTATTTTCTACTCATGTATTAGTGTACATGTAGTTACAACAATTTAGTAATCAGCTACTAGACCTTGAAATTATCAGTTTGTGTCTTTTAAATTAATTTTTAAAGAGCTTTTAATCTAAAAAAATATGAGTTCATTATGAACACCTTGCATTTACAACCCCAACAGTTTTTGTTAATTTTTGGCTTCTAAACTTACAAAAGCAAAGAAATAAGATCACGGAGGTAGTGATAAAAACCTACCAAGCATACTTTGGTATAAAACTTTCATAAAAGAATAAATATTGGGGGTCCAATATCGTCTGCAAGCCTTGTGTAGACTCTTTACCATACTGGAGTCAAGCTGGACGTAAAGGACTTCAATTTGCAAGGCCAAAGATATGAACTGAGCTTTCTAATCACTAAAATGATCAAAAGTCATCCAAATTAAAGTCCTTTACGTCCAGAAACGTCCGTTTGAATACGGAAAAAATAAATTCGATTGACCGCAAATCCGTACTCTTATGTAGGACACTGTATTTGTAAACCACATAACACAAATTGAATCTGAAGCATGGCTAAGCTTTGTTTTAGTAGTCAAACAATATTTGGGGAGTCATAGAGCACCAGACTTTTCAGAATTGGTTGCTAAATTGTTTTAAAAATTTTACTCATGAGGAGCTAATTTGAGTATTAAATTATTATTTTTACAATAACCATTTGGACATGTTCTCCCATAATCTGGATGATTACAGTGAGGAATAAGCAGAACGGTTCTACCAGAACATCAGGATAGTGGAAGAATGATATCCACGGTCAATGGGACCGCCAGATGATGGCTGATTACTGTTGCCATAATTATGGAATTTTCCTGACCAAAACCATAACATAAAAGCTTTCAGAAAAAGCTTTTTGTAGTTTTTTTTTTCTATTATTTGATGAAAAGCAAATATATTTTTAATTTTTATATCGTTCCTAAATAAGATCTTAGTGTAAATATTTTTTTTATACAGATTGGTATTTTTATTTTGGTTTTTTTAATATAAATAGTTAATAGTATTTATCTCAAGATCTAGAGTCAATTTGACAAATCTAATATTTTTCTAGTATTCAGCACACTAGTCGCATACAGAATTGACTCTAAACTACCATGCCGCAAAATGACTGTTCCCCAGTGTAATGATAGCCTCACAATAACCCAACACTTGTATCTGTTTATCATTGGACACCTGTAATGTCAAGGGTCGATAACAAACATAACGTCCCTATAACCTTCCGACAAAAAACAGGAAGGCAATAATAAAAACAAAACTGGTGTAGGTAATAACCCAAACACAAAATGTCATATCAGACCATTTTCCAGCGCTTAAAAGCTTGTATAAATAGCAGTGATTCATCCGAAGACTTTACACATCGACTCTTCATCTCTGTGGAATCTTTGCTCCTGACTTCAAAATATAGAAAATGGCCGCCATGAAGACCGCCGTGATGCTGTTGCTCGTCGCCTTCGCCTTGATGTTAGTGACGGAGGCCGACGTCCGCGTCGAGCCCTGCGACCAGGTCTGCAGCCGCATCGACGCCGAGAAGGACCAGTGCTGCAGGGCCCATGGACACAGCGGATGGATCAGCTGCGATGGCGGGATGTATTGTTTCTGACACCTTAAGCACCAGGCCACGCCCAATCAAACATTAATCCTAACGAAACATAGCTAACGAACAAGGCACCGTGTTTAGTATCTACTTAAATTCAGGAGCATCAGCATCTTTCTTTTAAAATCTAACATAAGATTTATAGAGTAACACAAAACAAACTGTATGGACAGTTTTGAATAAGTATATTTTATTTGTAAAATTACATTTTGTCAATATTTTTTTTTGTTTTTCAATCGGCACAAATAAAACTATCGAAAGGAAGGTATAAAGTTCTTATTTTAGTTAATTTCAGTTGTTTATGTAGATAATAATTATGTCAGAGTAAAAAATAAAGTCTATTTAAAATAACTCGGGTATGTTACTCTATAATTATGTACACATTACAAGACATTGTGACACCTAGCGGAATAAAGCAACAAAGAACTGAGCGGAACGAAGTCGCGGGCACAGCTAGTTGGATTATAAAAGTATACTCTATTCTTAATGTAACACCACAAAAAATATTTTTCTTGAGTGAGATAAGGGCTTCCTGGTGGCCAGGAGATGTCACCCCTGCCTGAAATTATTTGTTTGCGGGAACATGTCTCTTACCATCTAAATGCTCTCAGTTGAAGAGTGACACGTAGCCCCATCTTGATGAAACCAAGTGCTCCGGTCATAACCTTGCGAATCTTGCAGCTTGAATATCAAAAAGCTTTTCATATAATAATAGTAAAGCGCTCTCAAAAATTAATCATCCTTTCAATGCAACAAACCAATTAAGCAGTGGCGAAATCTCACTGCCTTGAGCAGAGTATACTCTAATAATCCAAAAACTCTGCAGCATTCATCCATCCTGAATCCATTTTGAGGTAACTCTAACGAAAGTAAGTGTTGACCGAATGTTGTAAACGTCAAGGGAATCACATGTACGATAAAATTCATAAAATATAGTTTATAATAAATTGCACTCCTTTAAATTGCATTAGCTAAAGTTCTACAAAAATGTACAGTTTTCGTTTCCTTGAATTTTCATAAAAAAAAAATAAAACCGACTCCAAAAAACCTACACTAAACCGTAGAAAAATAATTACTAATTACCTACTTATTTATTAGGACGAATTATTAATATTTATGTAGGTATACCATGATTGATACTTCTGGAGTCGGTGCCAAGATTATGAAACATGTAAAGTTTGCCTGCACCGACTCCAAAAGTATCAATCATGGTATACCTACATAAATATTAATAATTCGTCCTAATAAATAAGTAGGTAATTAGTAATTATTTTTCTACGTTTTAGTGTAGGTTTTTTGGAGTCGGTTTTATTTTTTTTTATAAAATTTTACTTATTTCTTGCTTTTTAGTTAACTAATTATTACCTTGATGTTACCACTGAAGGTAGGCAGTACACTGAGACCAAAAAAAATTGGTTCATAATCAGCGGAGATATTGCGTATAAAAAAGTTCATCCCCAATTTTCCACCCTTGGGGGTGAAATATTTTCTTCAAATTCGCATGAAACCACCCTTTTGATAATACCTATTCAACAAAAAAATAATCGTTCAAATTGGTTTATATTCGGCAGAGATATTGCGTATAAAAAAGTTCATCCCCAATTTTCCACCCTTGGGGGTTGTTTTTTTATTATTAAATTTAAATAGGACCACCCTTGAGGTATAACCTATACGTCGAAAAAAGATTCGTTCAAATCGGTTCATAATTGGCGGAGTTATCGCGTAACAAACATAGAAAAAAAAAACATACTGGTCGAATTGAGAACCTCCTCCTTTTTTGAAGTCGGTTGAAAAGTGAATTTTCTTCTGGTCCACCCTGTAAAACAATATACACGAAGTTGTGGAGAGATGGTGCTCGACCAGGGCTCGTGCTCCGAAGATCCTGTGTTATGAGTTTTTTATTTTATTTTTATTGAAACGCAATTGGAATATTTTAAAATTCATGAAAGTACCTAAGTATATGTATATTACAGTGCGTTTATTAATCGTTTATTTATATATGGATTGTGTATACCGACGTATAATTATATTTTTTTTCCTGTAAAAAAAATAACTATCTAAATTTGCCGCCCTAGACACCGGCCTACTTGGCCTATTGGTAAATCCGCCACTGGAAAACGGGCATTAGACTCCCCGCAGACTTCAGACTTTTAGTCGGCCGATAGTGTGCCCGATTCTAATTTGTATGAAGAATCGGCCGATAAGTACCAATGTGCGCACTTTCATATAATGTCCATCCATACTGATACTGATTAACAGCCCGACCCAACTATCGCTCTACAAAAAGTTTGTAGTCTGCGGTTAGGCTTACTTGATCAGTATCCGGTTTGTTCAATAGAGGTTCGCTGCGTTTCGTCCTGTTTTCATTGTAGCTGCTGTTATAGTCCCTTCCTGCTGGTCTGGGCACTGTTGTAAGGAATTTTTCGCCCTCACTACCTGCACCGTACCCCCCGTAGTCATAGTCGGTAGCATTCAAAACGTACATCTGGTCTCTTAGATCTGATATGTTTCGTCTTTCATGAGCATACAGGTTCTGTCCATAGCTGCCGTTGTCTATTCGTGGGTAGTCTTCGGATCTACGCTGACGCTGGTTAGCTGCTGAAGAATAAAATAGGTCTAAATATGTATAGTAGGTAGATAACCTGTTTGTGTGAAGACATGTATAGAAGGCTAAGCTTTTCCAAGTTGCCAGGAATTTAGTTTCATACTGGTTTTGTCTATGTTCCAACGGGTTTCTGTTGTAAGTTCGATAAAGTCACAATTCCCATCGTCAATTGGCAATTTTTTAAGGTATTCCTGAGAGCTCTTACACCTCAGGTGGTGACTCACCAGTCGACACTACAACGAACGCAGTGAACTGAGTTTCTCTCTAATGCCAGTAAAAAACTTACCCATTAAGTATGCTGATTGCGTTGTTTTATTCTAACACACCTACGAAGTAGAGTATCCTCATTCGTCGTTATAAACAAAGGGTACTTATCTATTTTTTTATCCAAGTCAAAGACCTCACATTCTGCGGTTTGAGGATAAAACGAGTAAGTAACGACCTGCGGTCATATACCTAGTAGGTATGTACGTTTAGGCTAAGGTGAAGGTGAACCATCCCAAATACGGTGTTATTTTCTCGTATAGTTCACAGCGCATTATAATAAATTATTTTTGTTGAAAAATAGCATCTTTTACAATTATTAAAGACTTACCTTTCCTAAAGTGACGACGCTATTCGCTGTCAAATCGAATTAAAAAAATATCTTTTTGTTTCTCATTAAATTAAATGGGCACTTACAAGTCGTAAGATTTTGATACTGTCATGATTTTTTTGCCCTGTCAGTCGCCGCTGAGGTCGCCGCCAAGTAGGTACTCGTACCTGTAGGAAACTATACTGACTATACCCAATAAGTAAAACCATCTGCGATTTTTGTAGAATGACTGACTGTGTGTAGCATCTCAGGACAGCGGTGCACGCCCACCGTTTTCTGAGGAAGCCACAGGAACCACGAAAGATTAGGTACCTTCTATCCTACTGGCTTGAGATTGGATCCTACAATATGTAAACTCTCACCTACCATCTTTGGCAACATCACCAGGCACAGCGCACGCTTTCATAGCCGTCGTTACATCTTCCTCCAGAAGTTTAATGTTGCCCTCGCCCGAGCATCGGACCAATGCTGGCACCAGCGACAGTATGACCACAGCAATGCACATGTTAGCACTGACCAGAGTTCATGTTCCCACCAGCCTATATAAATGGCATATGATGTACAGGAAACTATCATATTACGGGTGACAGATGATGGACAGCAATTGTGGTCTGCATTGGATGCAATCCCAAAGGTTTAACGATTCTAATTTGACGAAAATGCAACCGCTGAAGGTTTAGAAAAGTTGTTAGAAAAAAATGAAATACAATATTTTTAGGTGATCTAGTTTAGAAGGTTTTCGGTAGGCCTACTTTGGTAAGGAAGGTGATCTTAGTTAAAAACGGTCTCTTATAAACAATAGTACTTCTGCCTATTTGTGCAGAAAATAGCATAAGCAGTCATAAATTCTATAATGTTGCAAAAGTAATCAATAAAATCCTTGTAAACTATTAATGATAGGTACACACCTCAGATCATAGGTACACACATTATTCAATATAGGTAATAATGATTGATGTGCTCATATGAATAAACTCTGATGTTATTATTAAGTACAGTTTACATTAACACTTCGTAAAGTTGTTTATAGTAATTATTTATTGGGATTCCCACCGGTTGCACTTAATGGTACTTGGTGTAGGATGTAACTGATGTGATTACCTATTTACCTTTTATTATGGTCATAGTAAGCAAGACCACCACCATGTACTTAATGTTTTAAAAAATAAAGTAAATTATTTCACATTTGACCAGATGGATACCTTTACTTCATTGAAAGTTCTATATAGGAACTAGCTGGGGATAGGTATGGGCGAGTTTTTATTATTTGAAGAAAATTAAAATGCCATTATGTAACTACATATTTCATTCATAAGTACAAGTAACATTTAAGTTTAAAAGGGTTTTTTATTATGTACCTACTTAAGTATTCTGAAATAAGGGCATACGCACACTACATAGGAATAAAGAATTTGAAGTCGTAAAACGATTATGAGTTCAAATTAAAAAAAAGATTCAGTGTTAAAACCAACTGTTGATTTTACACTGAATCTTTTTTTATGAAAAATAATACAAAAGTTTATTATACAAATATTTTAATTGTTTTATTTTACTAAGTATAAAACAAAAGAATCACAATTTACACTTTAATCCAATTTAAGTATTTTTCAGAGTTCCATATCACATCACTATTGTTTCGGTTACTGACCAAGTACCAATCTAAAACGTTTTCTATTTCATATGCTCAAAAAGGTACTTGGTGTAGACGTCACTCACCGTACCACAAATAAATCAGCAAATAATTTTTAAATCTTATATTACATAGACATAAAAGTTAAAAATTACATAGGAAATTTGTGGTAGGCTAATTATAATATTTAACGTCCCCAGCCCCATCCGCCGCCGTGTCCCCAGCCCCCTCCATAGCCTCGTCCCCACCCCCCACCGTGCCCCCAGCCCCCTCCGTGCCCCCAACCCCCTCCGTAGCCTCTACCCCAACCTCCGTAGCCTCTACCCCAACCGCCGTAGCCTCTGCCCCAGCCCCCGTAACCCCAGCGGGACTCCTCAGGAGTGAGTTCCTCATTTTCAGTAGGAGCGGTCAGGACAGCAGCAGGGTCTGTGGCATCGCCTTCGGGCGCTGGGAGGGCCGACGCGTACGCCAGCGCGATGCACATCAGCAAACCAAGAGAGAAGATCTGGGAAATAACAAGTGAAGGTGAGAAAGGGCTATATGTATAAGCACACTACGTTTTTTCAGGCGCCTTTTGAGGCGCGTATCGTGTACACAGCGCTTTCCAATTACGTGAAACGCTCGATCGCCTGAAAAATGCGGTGTGCATACGCCCTAAATACTTTTTTTACTTGCTGCAGCAGCCTGACATTAAAATAACACCTAGTCCTGACAAATGTATGTTCGAAGCCTTTTCCTTGTGTTTGTAGCTGCCTTGTTAATTGGCGGTCCTAAATAAATAATTTCTTGAGACTTTTTGCTCGCATCTTCATACCAGGCTTACACAGCTAGCTCTAAATCATCAATGAATATTCTAGGTTAATCAAACTCTGGCGTCATTGCCAGTCATAGGTACTTCGTTAAGTGAAGAAATAAATGCTTGTCATAACAAAAAACGCATTATGTAAGTAGTTAGTGTATTTAGTATTTACCTACTGAATAATTTAGATACTAATGGATGAAGATTGTTTATTTGTTTAACACAAGTTTTATGTCATTCGGGAGGTAGGTATTCTTTGTATTTTAGCGTAACTACTTAGCTGATCAAATATTATTTATGTAATCTAAATGTAAATTAATGATGACTAATAAATGGAATTGCACAATATTTTCAAATTAACGTTCTCACTGTGCTTTCTAACCCTTTCCTGCTAGGGATCATTTAACCAAATACACAATCATAAGCACTGAAAAAGTCTACAAAGTTTCCCGAAAGCTTTAAAAGTTTGTAATACATACGTGCTCTATTTAATTTCGTGCCCAATCTTTACTGCCCCCACAAACAGGTTTTTAAAAAACTAGAGCCTTTTAAAATACTTTTCTAAGTATTAAAAAATATTCAGATATTTGAATTAAAAAAATCTCTGCAAATTATAAAATGGGGCCAATGACACAAAATGGTTTTTAAATCCTAAGGCTGAGTTGTACCATTTTATTTTAACCGTGACTATAACCATAACCGGTGTGTTTGTATGGAGTTTCGCAGACTTTTGACGTTTGTTAAAGTTAAAGTAAGATGGTGCAACCCAGCTTAAGTAAATAATTTAATGTGTCGTACTTACAGTCTTCATTGTTCCAATTTCTGCGGAGTACTGATGGTGGTGGCCCATACAATGCAAGTATTTATACACACGGGTACCTACAGACTGCAGGGCGCAAACTTGTGTCGATGTGTGACGACGCTCTACAAAAATGTGTCTTAATGCATCCACATACCTGGCAGATTGGTCTAGTACTTAAAACCCATTTCTAGGTTCTTCCCTGAAGAACTTGCCCTAGAGAAAGAACTTTTGAAAGGTCAACAACCTCTTTCAGTTCGTGTGCGTAGACTTAAAAATGTCAACGCCCAGTAGCTGTTATACTCGTAGCTATTTTGTATGGAAGTAGGTATAACAACATAAATTAACTTACTCATGCCTTTTCTAGCTTCTAGTACCTAGGTAGGTAATTTTTATTGTCTTATTTTATGGGCTCCTGGTACAGTCAGCTTCAAAACAATTTTAATTTTTAATATGACTTCTTTTTTCATTCGAAACCAGTAAATAAAGTAGGTAATAACAGGCTATATTCCTTCAAACTTGGTGTTTTATTTCGTCGGATTCGACCTGCATTCAGCGGTTTTCTGCAATGCAACCTTATTTATAGGGTGGACAACCCACGCTGCGCTTTATTATTAGTGATGATTGTTTATTATCTCGGCAACATGGAACTACATAATTGTGCTATTGACTGTACCTACAAATATTGTTTACCTGACTTTAACGAAGTATACCTAAGTTTAAGGTTGTCAAGATATGTGTCATCATGTTCGTTTACTAAAGTGACTCACCAATGACCAACTAATGACCGATCCTAACTCTACTGTCGACAAAAGGATATGATCGATCCGATCCGTCTTCATTTCAGCCACAGGATGTCCACAACTGAAAATAGGCCTCCCATAATGATTTCCATATTGACCGGTTGGTAGCGACCTGCATCCAGCGCCTTCCTGCTACCTATCACGCTGCGTTTTCCGGTACGTGGCCTATGGCTGAAATCTGATGATGATGATTCGATCCGTCTTTATCTCTCAAGTGTCATACATTGAAGTACCAAGTAAATGCCATCAACCAAAAATTAGTTGGAAAATAGCACCTACTGTAAATAAATAACACAATGTTCATGTGAAGTAAATAATGTCTTAATGATTTAGGGCAGGGCATTAATTAGTGGAATTTTAAAAATATTTATCATATAGAGGGTGTGGCTTGGTGTGGCTACTAAATAGTTGATGTGTATTTTACAATAAGGACATACATTGATGATTAGGCGTCATTAAGGATGTAGCACATTTATTAACCCGGAAAGGGATCGTAACCGTATTAACTCGAACCGGTCAGTAATCTTTGTATGGAACTCCATACTGTAATGCACACTTATCCGCACCGTAACGTAAACGCTTCGCCTCGCGGCTGATAGCGGGTGAAAGGCGATTATGGTGTTGATACCTTTCCGAGTTGATAAGTCTGCTATGACCTTTATGCGACAGTACACCAAATATAGTGAAGTTTTTAAGTATTTGTGATAGAAGGCGTGGCTGGTAAATAACGTGTTGTTTACATCAAGGACTTACGGAGCGTGTGTTAGGACTCATCGCTTTCCATCACGTGAGATGCTGGCCAAATGCCTCTCCAATGTGGGTAAAAATGAAAAGAGCAAACAATAATTTATATGTATTAGTCTATTAGTTGACGTTGGATATAATATGAATATAATAATATTGGAATAATTGGTGTGGAAGTCAATTAGTGTATAGTTATCTAGATATGAAAAATTAATGATGATTTACAAATGACAGGCTATATTCATTATGTAGGATCTTCAAAGCGGTTTTAATAAATATGCAAATGAGATTAGGGTTTCTTTTGAAGTTAATCTAAACTATGATCAGAAATGTTATGCAGCATGATTAAAAAACATTTTATATTTCAATTTTTTTATTATGTCTTAGTGTCCTATTTTTACATTTTTCAATAGAAACCGTGTCCTTACCTACTTAGAGTGAGTATTATAACTTAGAATAAATACTTAATAGTTTTTACCTAGTAAGTACGCTCGATAGCACATCAAGCTTAACACTGTGGCATCCAATGTAAATTGTGAAATTGTTACAAAAATGCATTATGTATGTCTGATGTGCTATCGACCCGACTGCGCCAGAAGGGTTATAGGGGGTTATAAGGAGGGTCTACCCTTTCCCGTAATGCCCCCACTTTCCATTTCCCCATCCGCTCCAGCCAGGCTTGCTGTTTCCACTGAACAGTCTCACGCCTGGGTAGCCGGACCCGTAAGTTCCGTAGCTGCTTCCCGCCAATGCTGACTTGCCGTAATTGCTGAACTTGGCTGGCTCGTCAGAAGAAACGCTCGCGTATGTGCCGGCTACACTGGCCCCGTAGCCCAGCAAGCCGGTGCCGTAGCCGCCGACTACGCCGGACCCGTAGCCGCTACCGACTACGCCTGACCCGTAGCCGCTACCGACTACGCCTGACCCGTAGCCGCTACCGACTACGCCGGAGCCGTAGCCGTCGCTGCCGTAGGTGCCAGATACGCTGAACGTCAGCGGTATGTGGATGCCACCGAGACCGTACCCCGACGTTCGCATACTAGACCAAAATGTCTCAGCACTTTCCATTGACTCCGACTCCTCAGTTGTCGTGGTTTCTATGGAAAAAAATGCGTTTATTAAAATTACACGAGTAACATTTATTTTGGATTTTAATCTCGATTACCAGCTAATTGGGTCAGTAATTCGGGTACCGGATTACAAGGATTTTCGCCAGGTCGTCGCTAGAGGTGAATTTGCAGTACAACAGTGGGGCTTTTAATGGTTGGGCCCAAATATAATTTTTTACTATATTTGAACTTAATTTCGAATGTTTTAAGGTAGGGAATATCTAACTAGGGCCATAAATCCAACAGGATACAGATGCTATCATGCTAGTGGTATTAACAAAAGGATTTCTGAGTGATGTATAATTCGTTGAACTCTTTTTACTACGAAAATATTTCGTAACGCTAGTGGTAAATATTTAGTAACAGTCCCGGTATCCTGCGAACTGCCGCCTTTAAACTTACTTGACTCTATAATTGGATCATGCGTAGCAGCTTCTCTCGTCACTCTACTTGGTTGGGACCACGCTGGGACCTTGCCGCTCAGAGGGGGGCTGGGCAGAAGGTACAGGGACGGGTCCAAAACAGCATTCTCAATACTTCCCATACAGATACCCAGTAGTAAAAGTAAAGCCTGAAATGAAAAAAAAAAGTTTTAGCCACGCCTATTAGACTCTGGCTGACCTGGAAATGTCGTGGTAAATGAAGTGTGATAAAAACACAGTAATAGTTATTCTGCAACAATATCTCTGTAATTTAGCATGTAACTCTGTTACACGAACGACTACTACTATTTTTTTTAGTATTCTTATTCGGTAATCTTACTAAAAACTACGCAAGGTTCGACGACATCTCTTATCTCTAAACGCATCCGTTTTAGTTGACCCTAGAGTTTACGACCGGCGTTGCTATGTTATATTTTTTTTATCCACAACGAGGAAGCTCTTGGCCTGTATCTCACCTGAGGCCGTACCTATACAGAAAGAAAGCTGGAAACTTATAAGCGCTTACCAGCGCTTGTCAGCGCTGGTCCGTTCGTTCACAAAGGAAGCAAGTTGAATGGCATTTTATATGGCAGCGTCCAGCCACGTCCAGCGCTGACCAGCGCGTGTTGAAACTTGTCGGCGTCGTTCAGTGCTTATAAGTTTCCAGATTTCTTTCTGTATACGGCCTGATGGTAAGTGATGATCAAGCCGAAATATATTATTTTAGTGACAGTCAAAAAGTGGCAAAAGTAAGTATAAATAAATTAATTAAGGGAGGATATTAACAACAATAAATCAATGTCACTTGAGAACACAAACAAAGCTGATGAGGAAGTCATCTTAACATACGTTAGGTTATTTACGTTGGCGTACAAGTAAACCTCATACCTACATTATAGGTTTATATTTAATCAATTAAGTTTGACATCTTCTTTATTATTGAGAAATTATTACGATGAGTGTTTTGTTTGTTATCATTTTTGATCAAAAGTTTCCTTGTTATTATGACATGTTACCTTTGTGGAACTTATTTCTTTTTTTATTAGTATTGTGCTTGCTACATAACAATAACTATCTGGGGGCACGGCAGTGCCCCCACCAAGTCGAGCAAAAAAGCAGCACGGCCGTACCATCCTTTTCTCGAAGCAATTCAGGCCATTTTCGACCGCCTGTAACTTCGTTGTGGATAAAACTAGAAGGCTGAATTTTCATTAGCTATGCAGGCATAGTAAAGACACGGTATATTTAAAATTTCATTCAATTTGAACCAGTAGTTTAAGAATTATAACGGGTCAAAGTTACTTAATTTTGTCACTCACTGACTCACTGACTCACTGACTGACTCACCGATCATCAAAATTCTAAGGCACTTCTAGCAGACCTAGAAGCTTCAAATTTGGAATATAAGTAGTGTTTGGTGTATGAATCAAGGAAAAACTATAATATTTGGGGGCACGGTAGTGCAACCGCCAAGTCGAGTAAAATTTTTCAATTTCGGTCCAGTTTTCTAGATACATAACTGCTGTCTACAAAATACAAAAAGAAATGAGATTTGGGGGCACGGTAGTGCAACCGCCAAGTCGAGTAAAATTTTTCAATTTCGGTCCAGTTTTCTAGATACATAACTGCTGTCTACAAAATACAAAAAGAAATGAGATCCCATCAAAAACAATACTTGTCAAAAAAACCAAGTCTCGCAACTCAGTTGTTCTACGGTAAAAAGTTGTGAGATCCATGTAATACCAAGTCCAGGCCAGGAAATCTTTAACGTTTTACATAAATATATTGACTTGGCCATCGCATGAAAACACGTGTAAATTAAATTATTTAGTGCGATGGCCAAGTCAATAATTTATGTAAAACGTTAAAGATTTCCTGGCCTGGACTTGGTATTACATGGATCTCACAACTTTTTACCGTAGAACAACTGAGTTGCGAGACTTGGTTTTTTTGACAAGTATTGTTTTTGATGGGATTATATAGTCCAGTCACATTAATTTATTGAAGTTTTACCTCGGAATGAGACCCGAGTTAACAAGCTGAAAGCTCGTGGGTCCTACTCATTTTAACCGCTCTAAAAAGTTCTCATAAAAGCTCATAATCATAATTTACTTATAATTCAGTAGTCAGTTCTTCAAGGTCAAGGGTCAAAACCAGTTAGTTTTAAATGGTGTCCATTTTCATGAAAAATATAAGTAGGTCTAAACCTACTTGCAAACAATTTTTTTTAACGATGCTAAAATTAAAAATAATTTTCTAATTTTTTAAATTTTTCATTAATAATCTGGATTTCTTTTTGCCTGTAGTCTAATCAATAAATTGGAATACAACAAAATTGTGAAAAAGTTCACGAGTTAACGAAACATAGGTATAAAATTAGAAAGTGAGTAAACTAAACTTTGTAAACTATGTACCACAACAGCAAGCTTTTTCAGGTGGCTTTAGAATACTTTAGATAAATATTTAAAATATATATTTTGTATGTGCTATGTAGTTTTTTAAAGTATAAAACACTCACCAGCATTGTAGACGTGGAATTCCCGTGACCCTCGTCGTTTGTGTTTTATTGCCGGGCACCGTGTGGACCGCTGCGCCCGTTACATAAGAATTTAGGGAAAGACTTTCACCCACTCGTCTCGTTCGATACTTTTACGGGAATAGTGATGTTCGTGCTTTTAACTCACTTGTCACTAGTCTAGTCACTTGGATTTAATTTGAATTTTATACAGGGTGACCAGCGAGGACGTTCAAAGCTAAGTCCATAAATCAAGATGTATTCAAATCACCCCCATGTTATGTTCTAAGATTTTGCTTACTTTAGGAGATAGACTTCATTTTGCAAGTGTAATGCTTTGAAGGCATCTTTAATTCTATTATTAAGGCTAATGCCCTCAATATCCTGCCCATATTTGCTTTAACTAAACAAACATTAGATTTTACACGAAACTTATATTAGAAGTTACACAAAAGCTTCTAAAAACAAATATAAAAAATAGGGGTTAGTTAGAGGGTATCTTGCCTCTATCTATGCCCTTAGTAATCAGTACCCTGCCCTTATATGCTTAATACTTACTACCAACTTGATTGGTCTGTTTACCCGACTGCGCCAGAAGGAGGGTTATTAAGTATTGCTTTTTGTACAACTACTAGTGTCGATACATAAGAAAAAAATGATGTCTATGATCTATGTGATGATTAAAACATACAATACAATCGTCAGATATTTTTTGCAATGATTGATTGATGATTGCAATGATTTGGGAAAACCCATAGGCAAAAATCTAAATCAAGCAAAAGTTGGACTGATTCACAGTCACTTTTAAAAATAAGATCATGACAAAAAAAAGCGAAGATTTAATAAGTAAAAAATATCGGAGTGATTTGTCACTGTTACTTACTACGCATTAGAAAACAGGTTTGGAGCGAGGCATCAATGGCAAGGTCATCTCTTTAGGATTGAACACGCGTCATAGACGAGAAAGCGTCTTGTTTTAACAACAAACTGGTAGCTCTTGTTAGACAGTTTTTAGGTTCATAATGCGGCTTAATTGCAGTGTAAATTGTTTTGATTAAAAGAAAAACAATCTCTTCATAGTAGCTGGTTATAAGGCGTTATTATGTCAAAAATATTAATTTGACACCTTGTCGTTCCTTTTGTATTTTTAATTTGTGTGATAAATTAAGTTAATTTATCCTATCTAATATTTTGCCTCGCCAAAAGGATAGGTGGTTCATCTGTATCTATTAGTTTGTTGTTTTTTTATGATAATGTGGTCTAAGCAACTTTAAATTAAGTATTCAAAATCTCTTCAATTATTTTAAGGTAGGCTACCTTACTGACGTTATGCACCAAATAGTTGTGTTGGTAAATGACCTAAATCATACCCAAATCGGTGTCCGTTTCCTGGCAAAAAGCATTAAATGTCATAATTTTCCTTGATGATAAAGGTAAAAATATGGAAAAAAATTGCTAATCAAAGTAATTTACGATTCAAGACTAGTTATTATGTACCATTTTTAACCGACGTCATATAAAGACTGAGGTGGTTCTCAATTCGTTTGTATGTTTATTTTTTTGTAAGTATTTTACTGCAGAACTTCTTTATTTGGTCTCATTTACATTTTTTATTAAAATTGGTTCGTTAGTGTATTTTTAAAATTAAAATAACTAGAAAAAAGTGTTGTTTCGTTTGTTCCAGCCAATGACATCCACTGCTAGACAAAGGCCTGCCCCAAGGAGTTCCACAACGACTGGCCCAGCACTCTACACATCCAGGTGGTTCCGTGACCTTCACCAGATCGTCGGTCCACCTAGTGGAATAGCTACCTAATTTTCTGCCCTACGCTATGTCTGTTGTAATTCAAGGTAGTTAGCATAAACATTAAAATAAAAATTAAAAACACTGATAAACAAGAAAAAGACGCTTTTAAGAGAAACTGTTTATTATTACAACATATTTAGTGAAGATGTTTAGTATGATGTTCAGATGCAATGTACTTGATTCATCCTACTAGCGCTGCTTGTTGTGTCTTTGGTACGCCGGGCAGCGCAGAGGCGAACGCTAAGACAGCACAGGCAATGAACAAAACGATGCTGACAATCTGAAACAACAGACGAGAAGTTTTATTTATGCAATTAGGAAAGGTAGATTAAATGTGTTTTTTTACAATTTTTAAATAGTCATAAGGACTATGACTAAACAATATGAAATGAAGATATTGGGTCAGGTTTGATTAAGGAAAGCGGGCGTTAGAGGGCACACATTAAAAAAATGTTTTGATAAAATTAAAAACACTTACAGTCTTCATGGTCGTGGCTTGAGAGTTTTAATGATAGAGAAGACCTAAAGTTCGGCCACATTTATACCCAGATCGCCTGGATAAAGGATTTGTCACACTGGATGCGTTTTGCGGTTAGGTCAAAGTAAACGCAGCCTGCAATTTGACTATTCGCGAATTTGCGACCGCTTGACAATTTGCCCATAAAGGCACTATAGTTATCATACTATTGATGCGATCTGATACAAGTAAAGAACACAAGCGCTGCGGGCACAAGCAAATAACGCAAACCGCACCGCTGACAGATTGTTTTGCCCGGACGCTGACCGATTTCCCTGACCTCTGACCGATTGTCCTGACCGCTGACCAATTGCCCTGACCGCAATGTTGTTCATACACAATGCGGGCTGCGTTCACAGCAGACCGCATCAAGCCAGTATGACAAATCCTTTGATCAAGTCAGGTTTTTTGTATTTAAATGTATCACAAAAATAATATCATACGTTTGTTTGACCTTTCCTTAACTAACTTTGGTTTTAAACATTTATTTTTATTTATTTATTGACGTTTTTCTGATTAAAATACTTTTTTACAGATCAAAACTATGAATATGAAAAGATTTAAACTTATTTGTAAAGTACACTACACTATTTACTACCACTCAACCTACGAAATTTTCAGACTAAGATTGCAAATATTTACTGTAGTATACAGAATATGCAGCAGATTATTAGCGCTAGAGCGAAATTCGTAAAAAATCAATAACTTGTTCATAGGGATAAAAACTTAAGTAATTGCAAAATACATAATACAGGGTGACTGGTAATTAGTGGCGGAACCCTTAATATACAGGATGTTTGGCGCATCGTGTGCCAAAATAATTTGGCGGATAGAATGGGTCATTTCCTATATTTTCAGCCCCCATAACACGTTCCATACTAGGCGGGTACTTTTAAATTAATTTTTTTAGTAATTTCACCAAAATACCCAAATCGCATCATTTAATTTCGATTTAAAAAAAAACTACTAGGCGCAGCCCTAAAGTAAATATTTTGTTTTGACGTGCATTAATGTAGGATTGCATGAAATCTAAATTTATTGGCAAATATCATCTAGTTTTTTTAAAATTCAGCTTTGAAGTTTTCCGAAAAGTTAAAAATGGACTGAACATTTAAGTTTACAAGGGTATAATTTTTTTTTTAAAAGAGATAGCGATCTTCGGATTTTATCAAAACTTCTCTAGTCTATCCTCATTCAAACGGTATACTAATCTTGTTTAAATAATAACAACAACTTCACAAATTCCTTAAATTAGTGCATTGACTCTACTCGGACTGATTTGCGAAATTTGTGTTTATAGCTCCTTTTTGTGTGAATAGCACGTAGAACACCTAACAGGTAAAAATTATTTATCTTATGCAATGTAAAAACCTTTTCCCTATCGTTTTTCAATGTGGATTTCTTGAAATTAAAGACGAAAATAATTATTTTGATCAAAAGGTTTTTACATTGCATAAGATAAATAATTTTTACCTGTTAGGTGTTCTACGTGCTATTCACACAAAAAGGAGCTATAAACACAAATTTCGCAAATCAGTCCGAGTAGAGTCAATGCACTAATTTAAGGAATTTGTGAAGTTGTTGTTATTATTTAAACAAGATTAGTATACCGTTTGAATGAGGATAGACTAGAGAAGTTTTGATAAAATCCGAAGATCGCTATCTCTTTTAAAAAAAAATTATACCCTTGTAAACTTAAATGTTCAGTCCATTTTTAACTTTTCGGAAAACTTCAAAGCTGAATTTTAAAAAAACTAGATGATATTTGCCAATAAATTTAGATTTCATGCAACCCTACATTAATGCACGTCAAAACAAAATATTTACTTTAGGGCTGCGCCTAGTAGTTTTTTTTTAAATCGAAATTAAATGATGCGATTTGGGTATTTTGGTGAAATTACTAAAAAAATTAATTTAAAAGTACCCGCCTGGTATGGAACGTGTTATGGGGGCTGAAAATATAGGAAATGACCCATTCTATCCGCCAAATCATTTTGGCACACAATGCGCCAAACACCCTGTATATTAAGGGGAGGTAGTCTAGGGTTATTCTGACAGATATCAACTATGAGATCTACCGTCCTCTTAAAAAAAGATCAAATCATCATCATCATCATCTCAGCCATAGGACGTCCACTGCTGAACATAGGCCTCCCCCAATGCTTTCCATGTTACCCGGTTGGTAGCGGCCTAAAAAATGATGCATTTATTCTATTGTAGAGATGTAGAGATCTAGATAATATTTCTAATGATGTGGTGCAGTATGGAACGACAAAATTAAAAATCTTCATTAAGTATTTCGATTTTGACGGAATCAAAAATTTAATTCCGTCAAAATCTAAATACTTACATTTAAAAATATGGAAATTAGAGATCTTTCGATAGGTCAAGGCTGTGTTAATTTGATCAACACACCATTTACTTACGAGTATGTAGTTCTTCATAACTAATAATTATCTTTTTTGAAAAAACCGAATTGTTCGAAAATATTTGCAAAGTTTTGAGGATTTTGCCAGTCGTAATTGCTTGACGTCATCATAATTAATTGTTGTTCCATGCTACTTTAGGATCTGGTTTCACATGATAATCTTCTCGATTATGTTTTGATTTTCGTTTCTTGTCTTTGTATGTAAATAAGTAACCAGTTTTCAAGGTAGTTAATTTTTATGTTAGTTACTAGCTTTCCGTCCGCGGCTTCGCCCGCGTGATATTTCGCCTGTCATAGAAAAACTTTATCGCACGTCCCTGTTTCAAAAACCGGGATAAAAAAAAATTATCCTATGTCCTTTCCCGGGACTCAAACTATCTCTATGCCAAATTTCATAAAAATCGGTCAGTGGTTTAAGCGTGAAAGCAAGACAGACAGACAGACAGACAGAGTTACTTTCGCATTTATAATATTAGTATAGATTTGTATGGTACGCAAAGATTAGCATAAAATATTAGCCCGTTTTAATATTGTCTTAATGCGTAGGCTTTTGATTATTCCATTGTTTTTGTTTTATACAGTGTGGCCAGGGAGTTGACGTTCAAAGCTAAAATTTAGATTCTTTACATCAAGGTGTATCTGAATCATCCCCATGTATGTTCTACGATTTTGCTTAGTTTAGGAAATAGAGTTAATTTTGTGATTTATCCTAAACTATCACCTATGGTTGATTTTTAACTTTTTTCTCACTCTGGCGACCACTTGTAGTTTGTTTTTAATTAATTACACTAGAGAAGCTTCCAGAGTGAGAAAAAAATTAAAAACCAACCATCTAGATCTAGATCTCTATAGATAGATTAGTTTATATTTTTAAACTAGCGGCCGCCCGCGACTTCGTACGCGTGGATCCCGTTTTACCCCCTTCATCTATCTTATGCGGTTTAGATTTTTTCATACAAATGTTTTTTCCCGCTAACTCCCGTTCCCGTGAGAATTCCTAAGTATACTATAACCTGCCCAGGAGTATGAAGAATAATTGTACCAAGTTTCGTTAAAATCCGTCGAGTAGTTTTTGTTTCTATAAGGAACATACAGACAGACAGACAGACAAAAAATTCACTGATTGCATTTTTGGCATTAGTATCGATTACCAATCACCCCCTGATAGTTATTTTGAAAATATATTTCATGTACAGAATTGACCTCTCTACAGATTTATTATAAGTGTATAGATGTTCTATTAATACTTACCTATTCATCATAACAAAATTTTCATATGCGAATAAAATACTTTTTTGTTAAAACTGTTTATATTTCTTATTTCATTAACTTAATACTAAAGTCCGTACTAATCACAGATAATAATACTAAATGTCACGTTTAGCACATCACTTTTAGCGGCCGTATCCGTAGCCACGGAATCCGCCCACAATAAATCCGCCGCCGCCGTAGCCGCCCCCGTAGCCGCCCCCGTAGCCGCCGTGGCCGAAGCCGCCGCCGTGGCCGAAACCGCCGCCATGGCCATAGCCGCCTCGGAATCCTCCGAAGCCGCCGCCGAAGCCGCCGCCGTAGCCGCCGCCATAGCCGCCACGGTAGCCGTGGTGCGCCGTTTCCGCCGGTTCAAGTGATTCCTCCGCGGGATTTTGGATGGGTTCTGCGGGATGTTGGAGGGTTGATGACAGTGCTGGCTCTCCTGCCTGCTGCAATTCCGCCAGGACTGAGGCCGGGATTGCTCCACCAAGTGCCACACTCGCGCTCACTAAAACGAAGAGGCAAGTTAACTGGAACAAAAATGAAATAGTTAAGTTTTCACACACCGCAGTTGAAGAAAGAGAAGGAAAATATTATGTACCTAATTTACGGTGTAAAAAATTTAGCTGTGCCCGTGACTTCGTTCGCGTGAAAATAGTTTGAATAATAATTCCCGTTTTTACAACATTTTTCTTTACTGCTCCGCTCCTATTGGTTGTAGGGTGATTTTATATAGCCTAAGGCCTTCCTCGATAAATGGGCAATCCAACACAAAAATATTTTTTCAAATCTGACCAGAAGTTCCGGAGAATAGCGCGTTAAAAGCAATCAAACAAACTTTTCAGCTTTATAATATTAGGTTTTAATTTTATTAATTAAGCCTAGCTTTAGCACGTGGCTTCTCCTGAGTGGGTTTCGGCTTTCGGTTTGCCACAAAAATTACAAGCCACGTGTTTCCGTTTCAAAACCGGGATAAACCGTCCTAGGCTTCAAACTATTATTCTATCGTTATACCAAAGTTCGTCTAAATAGGTTTTTTAAGCGTATATGTAACAGACAGATAGAGATTTGTATTTATAATAGTTTTTAAGTAGGTACTTAATAAGGAAGTGAGGGTTTGAAAAGTAATTTCAGAAAAATAGTTTCGAGTTATAAAAATATAAGGACCCTAAAATACACTACTGAACCATGCCTAGATTAATGATAATGATCTATGAATGCCTTATATTAAGAAAATTAATAAGAAACTCACAGTGTTCATTGTGTCGATTTCGGTTTTGAAATGTGGTCGATGGTCAAAACTGGAACTATTTATACCTATTTCGGATACGCTGTCTGCTGGCTAGTGCGGACTAACCGTGGGTAAACAACCTCTGTAGCTTCCGACGATGTTTTTGTTGGATCTCATCGAGTTCTCACATTCAATAATGATGATCACGCACATAGATAATATTTTAAAAGATATGCTTACTATAAATGGGGATTTCAAAAATAAAATGCCAACTCACGATCATTGTCAGTAAGCAAAGATCTTACTAATATTATAAATGCGAAAGTTTGTATGGATGTCTGGATGTCAACATGTTTGTTACTCTTTCACGCAATAACTACTGAACGGATTTTGATGAAACTTCACAGTAGGTATTATAGTTTATAACCCAGAATAACTTATTGGCTATAATTTGTGACGATCTGTGACAAACTTTTAACGCGGGTAAAGCCGCGGGCAAAAGCTAGTTTATAATAGTTACCTGTGTCATTTCTAAAAATAGTTATAAATTAATCATTATTAACGTGTAAATTCTACAGGTACGAATAATCATCGCTGGGCCAGAAAGGCGTTGGAGTAGAGACCCCGCAATAACACCCGCGGCAGAGAAAGACCGCCTAAAAGATGGACAGATGACATCCGGCAACAAGCTGGAATAAACTGGATGCAAGCGGCCAGAGACAGAAGTCGGTGGATGGTTGAAGAGGAGGCCTATATTCGAAGACGAACCCCAAAGGCTGTTATAGATAGATATAGAACGTGTAAATACTAAATAGTACACGCATAAAGAGCTGATTTTTTGTTTCAGTTTTTCTGTGTAACGAGGTGATGCCTGTAACAAAAATTTTATAGTCTGCCTGAACCACTGAACTGACCGATTTTGAATACAATGAAGATGGGTTCGTTCATTCGTTTCAGCCAAATGACGTCCACTGCTGGACAAAGGCCTCCTCTAAGGTTTTCCACAATGCACGGTCCTGCGTTGCCCGCATCCAGGCTCTTCCCGCGACCTTTACCAGATCGTCGGTCCACCTAGTAGGAGGCCTGCCCACGCTACGTCTTCTAGCCCGTGGTCATCACTCGAGAACTTTTCTGATGATGGGTATTTTTCGAGTATTTTGATTGATTACGCTACTACGAGTAAGATACGTTCGCCCCGCGTCGATGGTTCTCGAATCGGATCGCAAAGCACGCGGTTATGGGTTCAAAACTTATATTATGTGACGCGGGTGTATAACTCGAGCCATGGATTTTTTTATATTTATTTAAATTTGCTTAATTATCGTGCAGATAGTCGCTAAGGTACAGAGTCAATAACTTCCTAATTATGCTTGGGCCATGAAAAATGGTTATAAATTGTTTTTTTCCAATCCACGAGGGATCATAATTTTTTTTTTTTTTTTTTTTTTTTTTATTTACCTCGGGGCCGTAACCCACGGACCCGGGAATGGAACATGCGACCTCTGGAATACTCGCAGTAGTTCGCAAACACGCGAACCATTTGGCCAGGCGGCCGTCAACCGTCGTGATTACATAATTAGAAAAACGGTTTTTTTCTGGTTTTCGATAGACTTTCGTATAATTATTTTGGAGGTGTCGTGCGGTGCCGTTGCTTGGGCCGGTTTATTAACGGTTTTAGAAAAGTAATCATTCGACTCATGATCCTTGGCGCGTCATAATTGAGTTTCCTTCTTAATAAGAGGTAGTAAAAGGAATCAAGGGAACAGGCTCCAAAAACATTCAACAGCCAAACGACAAAATTATATTTTCCGGGATAAGGCGCTTGAATTTAAACGCACAAACAATACCTGTGAAAGGTGAGGAGGCTCTATGTTTTACTTATGTAATTTTTTTTAATTGTTTAAAAAATATATACAGTGAAACAGAGCTACTTCCTTTTTTAGGCATTTCCCTGCATTGAGCACCCTTTTGAGGGATAGCGAACTAGAGTCAATACTCAATACTCAAATCTTTATTGCATTTCACAGTGTACATTAGGTGTCTTCTCAAGGGGATTGTTATGCATAAAAAAGTTTACTTAGCACAATTATCAGTTATTAGTGTATACTGTTTCTTTTATGAAACCGCATGTCTTTAATGATGCTTTAAGAGCACATGCAAGGTGATCAAGTTTAATCATACATTAGACATGGCCCTTCGTTGCACATTACTGATGCAATTCATGACATCACTGAATTTCATCTTAAGATTTATTATCAACAACTAAAGATTCCTTGTAATGCTTTTAATGTTCAGTGTTCATAGGTTTGTCATCAGTTTGTTTGTCTTTAGTACGTTGATTCATTTAGCCTTGAGTAGCTATAAGAGTAGGAATTTCACAGAAGTAAAAAACAATTTGACTAATTTAATCTATATGAATCAATTTGGCCTTGGGGTCTTTACTGTATTATAATTATATGTTTTTGTACGATCAATTCTAATTATATAGATACTATCTGGCCTGGTGAACTTTGTACACACAGCGGCACCATCTACAGGGTTCAATTGTGTTCTCAAACCATAACCCTTTAAAACATACATACAAAATTCCAACTAAATCGGTCCAGCCGTTTAAAAGGAGTAGGTTGAGAACGCACGTGGGCAGGACTCCTACTAGGTGGACCGACGATCTGTTTAAGGTCGCGGGAAGAGCCTGGATGCGGGCAGCGGGCATGACGTCCTCATTTGGCTGAAACGTAGAAGAATTTTAAAATTAAGATTTTATTGTTGTGGTCTTTTTGTCAATTAAAAGGAAGGAGTAGCATTTATTCTTAGACAGGATCTAACCGTTCTAGGAACATTCACATTCTTATCAGTGCTGTACCTACTGCTTTTGCAGTAGGTACCAGGTACCTACGCCCTATTTTTGCAGGTTACTCAAATATTTGTAGCTTTGATAAAATGTAGAGACGAGTTTTTGTGCATAATATATAAACGAAACCTGACATCGTTGGTTAGTCTATTTTTATAAAGTAGTCTTTTACATTTTTATGTGCCGAATTCGACCGAAATTATATTGAATAGATTTTTATTAAATCGCAATATTTGTATAGTGCGTGAATTGGAATATTTTAAATACGCGTCTTCTCACGCCGTGATCTTACGTTGAATCATCTATTTCCTGTTTGTGGTGAATCCCACGAGACAAGAAAAACCAAACGATACATTAATAAACATATTGCGTAGGTAATAATAATATCAATAAAGCAAACATTCGTATCATGCCCATAAACGAGTTTCAACAATTCGTCTCTAGAGTGTTTTCAAAACAATTAATATTATGACTTTTGAATAAATTTTTTAGTTAAAGTAATCTACTTGGTCTCAGAGGTGCTAATAATTATTGTATCCCTTCGGGATTGGGTAATGGTTTCAGGACAATTATCACTTCTTGTTCCCACTTCTGCAATGTAGATCCTGTGTACCTCAAACCCACAGCTCTCTTACCATCAACGTACGAACCAGGAACTAAGTTATGGAATGGCAACATTCGAAACTTCGGTTAACGTTTTTCGGAGTTTCTGGAGAAAGATTTGCAATAAATTTGGATCCTGTTTTTACTGGTCCAGTTTAATGACAAAACCGAATAGCAAATTCGAAAGGATCGGTTTTTTGTGGGACACTGCAAATGTTTAGTGTAAAATACGTAGGTACCTACATACTACTAAAAAGGGATCCCGCAAAAACCTGATGTCTCCTTGGGAAGCCCTAAGAAGTTAAAGATAATATGGAGGATTTCGGATTTTCCTCCAGTATAAAGTGGATGACAGATGCCAATCAGAGGTATTGATTAAAGTGTTGGTTCAAAAACCACAAAGGTGAAAATTGTTTACCTTACTGGTCGGGGATGACTGACCGCGGGATGGCTGACGGATGGCCAACGGTCGAGCTCTATTAAACTGTCTGTCATGAATCTCAATCGTTCTCGCTTGGAATCAATGACCGGTTGATCTCAACTTCAAAGGATTTGAAAAGTATTAAAGATGATGACTATGATGATGTATTAACACAAAAAAATAGTTTGTTGCCCTTTTAAAGCAAGTTTGAGTAATAGATAAAATTGGTCATCACCATTACCATATAATCATAATCATCATTTCAGCCACAGGACGTCTACTGCTGAACATAGGCCTCCCCCAATAATTTTTCCATATTGACCGGTTGGTAGCGGCTTGCATCCAGGGTCTTTATGCAACCTTTATGAGGTCGACGGTCCATATCGTGGGTGGTAAAATAAAATTATATTATTATGGGGTTAACAAGGAAAGAGAGTATTTTTTTAAATTTCTTAGCGATTAGAATCGCTTCTCAAACTAAATTTCTCAAAAAAAGTTCGATTTTTTTTAAGTTTATTTAAAACTAGCGGCCGCCCGCGACTTCGTACGCGTGGATCCCGTTTTACCCCCTTCATCTATCTTACGCGGTTTAGATTTTTTCATACAAATGTTTTTTTCCGCTAACTGCCGTTCCCGTGGGAATTTTGCAATATCCTTTTGTAACTAAGCTTCAAGTTTACTAAGGTACCTGCATGCCAAATTTCAAGCGTCTAACTTAAGCGGTTTAGATTTTTCATACAAATGTTTTTTCCCGCTAACTCCCGTTCCCGTGGGAATTTTGCAATATCCTGTTGTAACTAAGCTTTAAGTTTACTAAGGTACCTGCATGCCGAATTTCAAGCGTCTAACTTAAGCGGTTTAGATTTTTCATGCAAAACGATTTTCTCGCTAATTCCCATTCCCGTGGGAATTTTTAAGTATCCTATAACCTGCCCAGGAGTATGAAGAATAATTGTACCAAGTTTCGTTAAAATCCGTCGAGTAGTTTTTGTTTCTATAAGGAACATACAGACAGACAGACAGACAGACAGACAGACAAAAATTTTACTGATTGCATTTTTGGCATCAGTATCGATCACTAATCACCCCCTGATAGTTATTTTGAAAATATATTTAATGTACAGAATTGACCTCTCTACAGATTTATTATAAGTATAGACTAGCGGCCGCCCGCGACTTCGTACGCGTGAATCCCGTTTTACCCCCTTCATCTATCTTACACGGTTAAGATTTTTTCATACAAATGTTTTTTC